TTGCAACTATGCCAGCAAAGGGACAGCCCGGCTTATCGAACACATCAGAATCCACACAGGTGAAAAACCTCATAGATGTCACTTATGTCCATTTGCCTCTGCTTACGAGCGCCACCTGGAAGCCCATTTGCGTTCCCATACAGGAGAAAAACCATATACATGTGAATTGTGTTCCTTCCGATGCACCTGTTCCATCATCGACGGCGCAAGCATAAGATGGTGCCAATCAAAGGTGCGAGGTCTTCCTTAAGCAGCAAGAAAATGTGGGGCGTTTTACAGGAGAAAACCAGCAACCTGGGCTATAGCAGAAGAGCGCTAATCAACTTAAGTCCACCTTCCATGGTGGTCAGAAGCCAGACTACCTTAACGATTTCACCCATGAAATCCCCAACATCCAGACGGACTCCTATGAGAGTATGGCGAAAAGCACCTCAACTGGGGGCCTACCCAGGGACCCCCAAGAACTCCTGGTCGACAACCCTCTCAATCAGCTCTCCACTCTCGCAGGGCAGTTGTGCAGCCTGCCCCCTGAAAACCAGAACCCCGCGTCCCCCGACGTAGTGCCCTGCCCGGACGAGAAGCCTTTCCTGCTGCAGCAGCCCTCGGCCCAGGCAGTGGTTTCTGCCGTGGCCGCAAGTATTCCTCAAAGCGCCTCTCCCACCAGCCCCGACCCTCGGCCGCCCCAGAGCCAGAGGAACTACAGTCCCGTGGCAGGTCCAAGCAGCGAACCCAGTGCCCACACGAGCACCCCGAGCACAGGAAACAGCCAGCCGAGCACGCCCGCTCCGACCCTGCCGGCCCAGGACCCGCAGCTCCTGCACCACTGCCAGCACTGTGACATGTACTTTGCCGACAACATCCTCTACACCATTCACATGGGATGTCATGGGTATGAGAAGCCTTTCCAGTGCAACATCTGCGGATGCAAATGTAAAAACAAGTACGATTTCGCCTGTCATTTTGCAAGAGGGCAGCATAACCAGCACTGACCGGGAACAGTCACATTACTCTGTCGTTGGTTTTGACTTTATGCATTTTTTTAGTTTTGTGTATCGTTGGTTTTTGTTGGTGGGGGGAGGACCCATCCCTATATGCTAATTTAAAGTTTATACATTATATTTATAGAAAAAAAAGTTGACAATAGAAACAAATGTTTCCCCCCCCTTTTTTTTCCATAAAAGTTTGGTCAGGGTCATTTATATATTAGAACAATTAGACACATTGGTGTCTGTTTTTTCCTTTTATTTAGACTTTGATGATTGAAGTGCAATCTTAATCTTACAGGTATTCATTTAAACTCCCACAGTTAAGGTCCATGTAGACTTCAAAGCTTGATCCTAGTGGTGTTTCACTATATACGCAGCTAGATGTCATTTCTGCCATATTTAAAAATGGTAGAATAAATTACTTTCTCACAAACTTTGTTACAACATATTTCCATGTTTAGCAGAGGAATTGCCTTTAAAATTGCTCTTTAGTTAGTTGAAATACTATCTAGTTCACTTAGTTTAAGTTGAATTGATAGTTTCAACTGATAGAAGTAAAGCTATTTCAGTATATAGTAAACCTTTCTTTTTTTCCGTAAGGGGAATGTAAAACAGTTAATTCTTTTTTTTTTTAAATATATTTTATTGATTTTTTACAGAGAGGAAGGGAGAGAGATAGAGAGTTAGAAACATCGATGAGAGAGAAACATCGATCAGCTGCCTCCTGCACACTCCCACTGGGGGTGTGTCCGCAACCCAGGTACATGCCCTTGACCGGAATCGAACCCGGGACCTTTCAGTCCGCAGGCCGATGCTCTATCCACTGAGCCAAACCGGTTTCGGCGTTAATTCTTTTAAAGTTATAAAAATTTGAGAGGAATGTTCTGAAATGAAATGAAACAAGGCTTTACATTGAAAATGGGGTTTAATATTTGAAAACCTGTTTATTCAATCTCTTGTTTAAAAATGCATCAATTTTCCATTGGATTCGTTTTATTATGCTTGTAGTTTATTTTTAAAAACCACAAGTAAATACATGAGAATGCTGGAAATTACAGGTGATTACCTATGAAGATGCCTTTTTTGTTCTTTTAGTTTGAACCTTGTATTTAAACGCTTTCTTCTGACATCATTACTGACAGGTGAGCTTGACAAGGACATTGAGTGTCTGTTCTCCCTCCTGTTCCTTTGATGACCAAAGAGGTAAGTGACAGTCCCATCTGGTTCCCAGAAACAGTCCTTCACGAAATTCCGAGTCCTGTTTCCTGCCTCCGGCCTTGCACCCATTTGTTGTCCATAATTTCTCAAATGTGTGTATAGGAACACATGGGAAATGGGATGGTGAAGTATATTTTTAAAAATGAAACATACATCCAAATCTAATTCTTCTCCTCTTCAGAATTGGCCCCCTAGAACACTTAGTGTGACTTCAAGTTGTGATGCTCATTGCAGTTGTACCAGTCTTTCCTGCGTGGCGATAGAGCCATGGAAGCTGACTGCCTCGACACCTAGTGGGAAAGGACTTACCATGTGAAAGTAGATATCAGATGCATACAGACAGATTTAACTTGTTTACAGAAATAAGACGTGCTAATTAATCTAGAGGAATTTTGAATAGGAGGCTGCTATTGATAATATTGTGTAATAACTTGCTTACCCTGAAGAGCGCTTGGTCAAACAATAAACTTACTGTTTCTAACTGTTGGTTTTTGTGTGCTTTGCAAGCATTTTACTTTTAATTTGGTTTAAAGCTTGAAGTGTTACTCATCGGGTTTGTAAAGAGCACACCCTAACGATTGAGCATTTATTAACCAAAAAGGACCACTACTCCTAAAAGGGAGATGTTGAAGGCTTCTGTCCACAAAAGCCCTATGTGCCAAGTGAATGGATCTTCTGGCCCCAAAGGCTAGGAAGCCTTTCAAAGGAGTTCTTGTGGGTGAATGTTCCATCTCAGCTCCTCTCAGTTGCACTGCTCAAAGCAGCAGCATCTCGGAGGGTTTCTCCAACTCGACCTCTTCCCTCAAAGCTGAGGCTCCTGCGGCCAAAACAGGGGTGGGCAAACTTTTTGACTCGAGGGCCACAATGGGTTCTTAAACTGGACCGGAGGGCCGGAACAAAAGCATGGATGGAGTGTTTGTGTGAACTAATATAAATTCAAAGTAAACATCATTACATAAAAGGGTACGGTCTTTTTTTTTTTTTTAGTTTTATTCATTTCAAATGGGCCGGGCCGTAGTTTGCCCACGGCTGGGCCAAAACCTAGTCTTGCTTCGCTCCGTCACTTTGACCACTCAGACCAGGGTCCGTGCCGCCATTTCCAGATGCATAACTTCGCCCTTTTCATTTATTTCCACAAAGCACGAGGTTGCTGTCATTTGGAAGCTTTTATTCCCTCCCCCCTCACTTTTATTCAAATAAAAGCAATATACAAAATAGAAAATGCAGGTTTTCGTGAAATAAAAGGAAGAACTCTTGTTAAAACCAGTTTATTAACTGCATTCTGGGCCAGATAGTGACAAACATTTTTTCTGACAACTAAAGATAGATGTTTTGAAGGTGCATTTTACTTTCAATGTAGACATTTTTTCATAATTACAAACTCGAATGTATGACTCTTTTCCCTGAGACTCGGTGCAGTTGGTGTAACAAAGGCCTGATGCCTGGAAGTCAGTTACTGCTCAATGCACGCAAGTCCTTGAAGCGAATCTGCCTTAGGCGCTCCGTAGTGTTTTGTTTTTGAGATTTAGGGTTTCACTTAAATCTGCGTTAAATGTATCTTCCATTAAGTATTGAGTATATTTATCCCATTTTATATTTAATCCTGTTTTATAGAAATGAGGTGTTGGGAAAGTTTAACATGCAATGCTTATAGTATTTTGCTGTTAACAGGCAATGAATGTTCTGAAAGAATTTATTTTTGTTCAGTGAATATAAGTTTAGATTTTTAAAGTTGGTAGATAATTTATCTCCACTAATTTTTTTTAAGAAACTGTGAAAAAATTAATATGGAATAACTTTATTTCAGATTTTACTAATGTAGTATGTAGCTACAACTTCTTGAAATTCAAGTAAAGGTTAGACTTCTACTTTGAAAAAATTCTATTGGCTATTTTCCAGTGCTACTTCATTTTAGAAAAAACGTGTTTGCCATTCATCTGCAGAACTGTTTGATAAAGGGAATATTGCTAAATAAATGTTCAGAAATAAACCTCATTTTAAGTTCTACAAAAATATTTATCAAATGGCTGTATTATTTTTAAAAATTCCCTTCTAAGGATTTTTTCACTAAATAGTTTTAGAGGGTATATGATTTCTAGAACGTGTTTTTGTTAATATGTACTTTGATGTAAAGAACATACTTTGTATGCAAAACGAGTATGATTGCAAAAACTTGTCTAGGGATTCCAGAAAGAGATCAATGCTGAAATACCATGCCCAGTGTGTAGTTCATGTTGTGCAAGAAGCTTTGCCTCTGTAATATGTGAATAAAAAGTAACACTTCCTAAAAAAAAAAAAAAAAGATTCCTCGGTCCCACCAACTTAGGTTTGCAGTGGGACCAGGGCTGTGTATTTTCCAAAAGTGCCACCCTATCCCCGCCCCAAGGATTTCTTAACATTTTCTCTCTGTTCTTAATAACAGACATTTAAAGGAGTAAAGTGAAGGAGGGCTGGCATGTATTCATATCAAAATAATTTCATTAAGGACACCTTAGAAAATACAGACTGGAAGAAAAAAGGAATACTTAAGCATAGAAGATATACAGATGGCAAATAAGCATATTCCTTATCAGTATCATCAGGGAAATGCAAACTAAAACACACCTATATGAATGGCCAACACCAAATGCTGGTGAGGATGTGGGCAACAGGAACTCTCATTCATTGCTGGTGGGAATGCAAAATGGTAAGGCCACTTCGGAAGATAGTTTGGCAGTTTCTTACAAAACCAACATACTCATGATTTAGTAATCACACCTTTGGTGTTTATCCAAAGCACATAAACCTGCACACAGATATTTCTAGCAGCTTTATTAATAATTGCCAAAAACGACAGACAATAATATTCCAATGTTTTCAGCACAAAAAGAAATGTGCTATCAAGCCATGAGAAGACAGAAGAATCTTAAGTGCATATGACTAAGTGAAAGAAACCAGTCTGAAAGGGTTACATGCTGTATGATTCCAACTATATGACATTATGGAAAAGGCAAAACTATAGATAGTAACAGTATCAGTGGTTGCCAGGGGCTCTGGGGAGGGAGTGAGAGGTATGAATAGGTGCAGCACAGGTGACTTTAAAAAAATTTTTTTTTATTGATTTGAGAGAGGGAGGGGAGATAGAAACATCAGTAAGCATCGATTGGCTGCCTCCTGCACGCCCCCTACTGGGGACCGGGATCGAGCCCGAAACCGGCGCATGTGCCCTTGACCAGAATCGAACCTGAGACCCTTCAGTCCGCAGGTTGACGCTCTATCCACTGAGCCAAACCAGCTAGGGCCACAGGTGACTTTTTAGGGCAGTGAAAATACTCTGTATACTATAATGGTGGGTACATGTTACTATACATTTGCCCATGCCCATAGAATGTACAATACTAAGCATGAACCCTAATGTCAACTATGGACTTTGGCTAATAGTGATGTGTCAAGGTAGGCTTGTGACACATCACAAACATCAGTTGTAAACATACTCCTCTGATTGGGGGATGTGCATGTGTGCAAGTGGGGGAAATGGAAAATCTCCCTATCTTAATTTTGCTATGAGCCTAAAACTGCTCTAAACATTCTAAGTCTTAAAAACAAAAAACAGAAGGGAGCATTTGAGATCGTTTCCCAGCATGTCATTAGTTTGGCTCAAAGAAATTCATAAAAATTCATAAAACACACACACACAAAAACAGAACACCTACTTTTAAGAATTGCCTAGATGTAAGAATCACCTGGTGCTACAAAATCTTTTACTTGGCTAGAGGATGGAATTAGAAAACCTTAAAACCCCAGAAAATTGTCACATAAACCACATTATCTGATTATGTTTCTTTGCCCTACGCAAAACAGCACTTAAATCTTCACCTCTGAGTAAGTGAAACAAGTCTACCCGAACACCTTCCCACAGAACCTAGTCTCCATGGAAAATGTTTCAATTAAGCTAAACCCCTACAACACACACTTCTATTCATTTATAAAAGCCTTTAAGGACAGTGAACCTACAATTTTTTTTTTTTGTATATTAGAGGCTTTCATGATTTAAAAAGTTAACATTAGTTTAATTTGTGGGGCTAAAAAGCAACAACTGTCTCAACTTGACTTGCCAAGAACCATCTCAAGTTTTATTCTTTGTTTCTGAACCAGGTGATCTTCGGATGCATGTCTCATGCTGACCTTCCCATACTACAGGAACCCATCACTTCCTACTAGTGATGTGTACCCCAACTCATATCCACTGAAAAGCTGTGCACCCGAGAAGTCGGCATATATTTAACAATCACCCAAATTTAAGACTCCACTTCCAGGTTCCCTATCATAGAGGTGCCAAATCTAAGCAACTCTTTATAGGGTGAGGAGTAATCTGGAGGAAGACTGGAAGGCTGAAGGAGGTTAAGTATTTTCTTGCCTCAAGAAGGCAGGATTCAATTTGGTGCCTTTATAAATGAAGCCATGTCAATTTTTCTCACCAAATATATGCTAACTCAGTGGCTTATAACCTTGGCCAACCACCACCTAAGACCCAAGGAGATATACCAGCTTCGCATGATGGGCCAAGAAACCTGAGATGTTCCATAAATTCCACAGTTGATTTGCATGCAGGGAGCCCACCACTGACTTGAAGACAAGCTTTGGAAATGTTTGCACAAACTGCTGTTCTGGAGCCAGAGAAGGAAAAGGTCATATCACAGGCATGCAAGTAAAACTAACAAGATACGGAATAGTTTACTCAGAAGCAAATGTTACACTTTAATAAAAGCACTGTAATTTCTATTATATTAGCTAATACATGAAAGAACAATTTAAAAAATGGATTATTCAAACTACTGGTTCTTACACCCACAAACATACATCAGAATCACTGGTGAGGTTTTAAGTCCAGGTCTCAATATTGGAGAAAGAAGGCTGTGACAGGGGTCAGGACCCGGCTATTTTTCAAAAGCTTTCCAGGCAGCTCTGATGTTTCCTCCTGGCCAAGTCACTGTATTTAGGTCGGCTGGGGCACTTTGGGTTTTTGGGGCCACTGTTTGGGGGTGTGGGAAGCTTTTCTTGCAGATTTATTAGCTGTAGTGAAGAACTTGGCCTCTGGCTTTTTGGGCGTCTGTCTTGGGTCTTTTTTCCCCAAAGGAGAGTTTCTTTGCTTCTCCACTTCTTCTTTGACTCTTGGCTTCTTCCCTGGGCCTTTACCTGGGGTCTTGGGCTCTGGTGCTTTCGGCATCTCCAAAGCTGGAAAGGCCTTTCTCTTCTTCCCACGAGGTGGGTTGGAACCAGGACTCTTTACTGGAGAGTTCTCTCCTGTGGCATGTTTTTGCATCTAAATAAAGAAGAAAGTTAGGTTTTTCTGGGCCCATAAAGACAACAGCTCAGAAGATACTTGGTCTTGATCAACACCCCTCTTTCTCTCTATAAACCTGGCTTCCTCCTCTGACCATTAATCTCCTTACTAGCCAATATTTTCCTGTCTCCATTTCTTCCCCTGCTTCACTTCCTCTTCTCGACCTCACAACCCAGTCTTCACCACATTCTGCTGAATCTGCTGCTTTTTGTTTTTAAATATATTTTATTGACTTTTTTACAGAGAGGAAGGGATAGGGATAGAGAGTTAGAAACATCGATCAGCTGCCTCCTGCACACCCCCCATATTGGGGATGTGCCTGCAACCAAGGTACATGCCCTTGACCGGAATCGAACCTGGGACCCTTCAGTCTGCAGGCCGATGCTCTATCCACTGAGCCAAACCGGTTAGGGCTTATTTGTTTTAAAATATATTTTTATTGATTTCAGAGAGGAAGGGAAAGGGAGAGATAGAAACATCAATGATGAGAATCATCTATTGGCTGCCTCCTGCACACCCCCTACTGGGGATCGAGCCAGATAGCCAGGCATGTGCCCTGACTGGAACTGTGACCTCCCGGTTCATAGGTCGACACTCAACCACTGAGCAACATGGGCCAGGCTGAATCTGCTTCTTCTTCTTCTTTTTTTAAAAATATATTTTATTGATTTTTTTTTTTACAGAGAGGAAGGGAGAGAGATAGAGAGTTAGAAACATCGATGAGAGAGAAGCATCGATCAGCTGCCTCCTGCACACCTCCCACTGGGGATGTGCCTGCAACCAAGGTACATGCCCTTGACCGGAATCGAACCCGGGACCTTTCAGTCCGCAGGCCGACACTCTATCCACTGAGCCAAACCAGTTTCGGCTGAATCTGCTTCTTAAATTCATCAGTTTCATCCATTTGTTGCTGTCTCCACTGTCCGGGTCTGACACTACCACTTATCTCGTCTGACACTCCACGACCACTTTTCTCCTGGATTAATCCATGGTCTCCAGTGAAGCTGGAATGTTATTTCTGAGACATGATTCTCTCTGTATCAGTTCCAAAAGCTTCCAATCTTTAAGTGGCTTAAAGACTTCTGAAAAACACTGAAAATTTAGCTGATAGATCTGGTCTACCCTTACTTTCCCAGCCAGATGTTTGGCATTTCCAACTCTTCTTATTCACAATCCCCTCTCTTGCTTTCCCCTTGTCCTTCCCGTCTCTCCACCACTGACACTGTAGCCATTTATTGCAGTTCCTAGGATATGCCCTGCTCTTGCTCTCTCCCCAAAGCCTTCACTCAACACACTCCAAATCTCTTCTTTCTCATCCTTGTAAAGCAGAGGTACAGAACCCTTTTTCTGCCAAGGGCCATACAAAATTATCAACTTAAAAATTAGTCTGCAGCCAGAACCGGTTTGGCTCAGTAGATAGAGCGTCGGCCTGCGGACTCAAAGGTCCCGGGTTTGATTCCGGTCAAGGGCATGTACCTTGGTTGCGGGCACATCCCCAGTGGGGGGCGTGCAGGAGGCAGCTGATTGATGTTTCTCTCTCATCGAGGTTTCTGGCTCTCTCCCCCTCTCCCTTCCTCTCTGTAAAAAATCAATAAAATATATTTTTTTAAAAAATTAGTCTGCAAGGCCATTATCAACAAGACAAGCAACAACAAGTGTTGGAGAGATTGTGGATAAAAGGGAACCCTCATTCAGTGCTGGTGGGAATGTAGACTGGTACAAGTACTATGGAAAGCAGTCTGGTGATTGCTCAAAAAATTAAAAACAGAGCTACCATACGACCCAACCATCCCACTCCTGGGTATATACCCAAAAAACTAGAAATTTATATGCAAAGATACATGCACCCCTATGTTCACTGCAGCATTATTCACGGTGGCCAAGAATTGGAAACAGCCAAAGTGCCCTACAACAGAGGACTGGATAAAGATGTGGTATATATACACAATGGAGTATACTACACAGCCATAAGAAAGGATGAAATAGTATCATTTACAACATGGATGGATCTTGAGAACATTATGCAAAGCGAAATAAGTCAAACAGAAAAAGCTAAGAACTATATGATTTAACTCATATGTGGAATATAAAACTGAAACTTACGAACACAAACAGCAGTGTGGTGGTTGCCAGAGGGAAGGGGTGGGGGAAAAAAGGGGTCCTAATATAAGGTTACAGGAGATTTGACTTTGGGTGGTGGGCACATGGTCCTATATACAGATTTTGTAAATTAGTAATCCACACACGAAACCTATATGTTCATGTTGACTAATGTCAACCCCAATAAAATTTAAAAAAATAAAGTCACTTTGGAGAAAAAAAATTAGTCTGCTATATTTGGTCAAATATTTAATTAACTCAACCCTAATGCCTTGGCAGGGCCAGACCAAATGTTATCATGGGACTTAAAAGGCCCTCAGGCCAGACGTTCCCCACCCATTTTAAAGGATCCACTGCCTTCATTCACCTCTGGAAAATCTCTGACCCTCCTCTTCTACTAGTTTAGGTTGGGTGTCTACTATATGTCCAAAAACCCTTGATTTCCCCTTTAATAAAAAATAAAAACTCCAGGTATTATGCCCTTTTCCCAATTATTTTATTAGTATTTCCTAAGAACTGTAAACTCTTACCAAACTTATTTCAAGTAATTTTACAAAAACTACTGCAAGGGTACATAATGCTTTTTCATTTTTTGCTTCTACAATGAGCAATGATGAAACTTCCATATATTATTGCCGAACATATTTCCTAGATGGATTCAAAGGGCATAAATACTTCTATAGCTCTTGACAGACAACACCCTGTCAGCTAGGCTTTCCACTCTTTAATTCCAACATATTACCTGCCAGCCCCATTATAAGCAAACAGCTTACTTTTTCTAAAAACAATTATACTGCACACAGTTAATAGCATGATCATTTATGTTAACTTTAAGGATATTTAAAAAATCCAGTAGTGCTCTGAGGGTACTTACTATCGAAGAGTTTAAGGGTCACTGTTAGAACGAAATACAAAACAGGTAATGTGCTGTAATAGGCCCAGGATACACACAGAGGGACCAAAAGTCCTCTCTACACACATGGGGGGTGGTTGGTAATCTTCTAGACTCTTAGGGACCTATTTCTCCCCTTGTTTTCAAGGTTTTCTCCCAATGTTTGGACAGATACTATGAGTAGAGTAAAAGCATTACCAAAGGACCAAAAATAAAAAACCCAGTTCCTTTAAATCACCTCCTCTGAAACTCAGGAAGTCAGATTTCTGTTAGGAACCATTGGGGGTGGGGTGTTTGGAGGATTTTAGAGGCAGGGTCCAGGACCCACGGTTCCCCTGGTAAGTGATCCGGGACTCACCCTCAGAAACTGAACCACTGCCCAAATGTCCACCGTGGCCTGCTTTTTAAAACCACAGGCAAAGTTTCTTAGATTAATATGGTCAAGTCTCCCTTGATTCCAATATACACAAAGGGCTGTGTTTACTATACTGTGGCTCCAATATTTAAACAAAAGGTCAGGTAATTCATGGTAACCATCTCCTGGGTTCTTAGGGTTTACTCTAGTATTTCTCTTTTAGTTCAAAATCTTTGGTAGAACAGGTTTCCCTAAAAACAGTGCCTCCCATCTTACATTCACCACTCAGCAGTGCCTGTAGGACACACAGTGGCCACTAAATCAATCCACTGTGGATATTAAACATTAGCAAACATACCTCTACATTTTCTTTGGCAGGAGCTTCTCCTATTGGGACCAGCAATGGGATTTCTTCTTCAGATTCAACTTGCACTTTATTTTCGTTTTTTATTCTGCAGGTCTCTTTCTTCTCAGGCTTAGGGGTCTCTTTCTCCTGGGGTCCAGGGCCCTTCACTGGAGAACCACAAGTTTTAGAGGCCGTCTCCTCTGTAGGTAGGGCTGATGTAGACTTTCTACCCCGTTTCATAGGCTTTCTGTTTCTTTTCTTCTCCTTTCGTCTTGTTTTTTCTTTTAGTTTTAATATTCTCTTTGCTTCCTACCGAAAAACCAAAATTTTAGTAAGAGATACTTTAGTTGGAAAATAAATGACACTTGCAGTTCTGATTATTCATAAGCTCCCTGAAAGGGCCTTGACCTGTACAAGCTCTGAGCAAACAAACCCCATTACCAGTACTTGAACCCCATTGCCACTTTGTTTCTGAGTCATGGCCACAGATGCATTTTATGTGGTAAATTATAGATAAGATACTCAAAATCTGGGTATCTGAGTTATGCAGTCACAAGTTTTGTGAAAGTCGATCTCATTGATAGGTGAGTTAAGAATTATACAGATTGCATAGTATGTGATATAAATTACATCTCAATAAAGCTAACCAAAACAAAAAATCCCTGACCATTCTTTTCCTGCTTCAAGTTATGGTGGAAAGTTAAAAGAGTAAAAAGTTTACATAGCTAGAGGTACTCAATCCTTACCACAGAGTACTGTTAAATAACATCTATAATAGCATCCAAATTCCATTTTCACCAGCAATTCCAACATTTTTACAAAGCCCACAAATGACTCTGCTGACAAATGGCAAAAAAAAAATCCAGCCTTCTTGCTTCCTCTATATTATTTTGGATCACCCTCCCAATTAAAACAAAAAGGCAAGGTAAAATGTTTTTTAAAATTTTTCCAAAAAAGCATCGATAAGCTGATTATATTGTCAGAATTTAACGAGGGCACAATGAAGTCAGTCCAGAATCCACTTTGGCCCAGAGAGTATCTCCTAATCACTGACTTCTGTTTTAACCACCATGTGGGGACTAGGGGGTGGAGGTGGTGTATAAAGGGATATCAAATCCCAGCATCCACACTGGGCAGGGATTCTAGGAGGAACCCCTCTTCACGACCGATAAGCTGAGAGCCCATGAGTTCCACCCTCAGGGCAAAGATGAGCAGGAAGGAGTCCTACAACTTTAGCACCACGGTTTGATGCGCAAGCCTAAACTGAGAGTGCCCCAAGGTGCCTGGCAGATGTAAATGTCAGTCCTCCGGAGATAAGATCTTCTTCCTACACCTCAAGTCATTTCTACAAATAATTTTCCAAATGCCACAACCTTCAGTAATATGCTAATAAGACCAGACGTCAGGACAAGCAGGGGCTGTGAGGGAAGCCCGGGTCCCGGGTGCCAGAGGGAAGCCAGTGCTGGCAACCGGGAAAAGAAAGGCCTGCTCTTGCACAAATTTTGTGCATCGAGCCTCTAGTTTCTAGATAACAGCAAACCAAAAAAAGCAAAGCCAATATGAAGAACAAAAAATGGAACTTCTGGAAGTAAAAAAATAAAAAGATCAAAATAAAAAAATTCATTGGACAAGATAAACATGGCTGAAGAAAAAATAAACAAATGAGGAGATAGACCCAACAAAGAGCAAAAGTTTCAATTTTCTCTCATTTTGGCTTCTTTTTTGCTCACCTGAGGATATTTTTTTGTGTTTTTTTTTAAAGAAAACGGGAGGGGAGAGAGGGTGGGGAGAGAAACACCAATGTGAAAGAGATACATTGATTGATTCTAGTGGGCAACCAAGGTAGGTGCCCAGGAATTGAACCCACTACCTTTTGGTCCGAGGGCCGATACTCTAACTACTGAGCAACTGGCTAGGGCTCATTCTGGTTTCTTTTGCAATAGTACCTATTAGCACCAAAAACCTACCAACCAAAAACAAGAGGTACGTGTTAGCCTAATAGAATCTTAAATTTTGCCCATAAACACCAATGAACTTAAACTAAATTTTGGATTTCCCCTCTCTTAGCTCATCTCGCCAATGAATAGGTCCTTTTAAAGCCTAATTAGGCCTTTGACGAGAAATTAAAACACCTACCTTATCATAAATGTATGTCCTACTGTACTTTATTAACTAATCTCATAGGTAAAGAGAGAACAATGAACACAAAACCACAGTCACTGAAAACTACTGCAAGACAAAAGCCAGGCAGAAATGGCAACCTGGTTCTCTCTTCTGGGCAGCATTTACATCCTTGACTAAGTCTACCCAGTACTTAAAATTCTACTTACTTCTTTCTTCAGTCTAGAAATGTTCACTCCTTTAGCTTCACCCCAACTGCTGACAAATGAAGAAAAGATAGGAAGGGAAACTGATCTCTCAGTTTTCACGTACAAGAGTTTCACACTCTCCCACTTCTGAAACAAACAAAAAAAGAGTAATGTAATCTACACATGCTTTGTGTCTTTTAAATGAACGATCAATTGATGCATCTGCAAGACTATACCTCTGGCAATTTCTGTGAAAGCTTTTTCGTAACAGCAAGAATGTTTTCGATGATGTGCTGAACCTGCATTCCAGTGTGACCGATGCGGATAGTGCTGAAATTTAAGAGTTTCAGACAAAAACGATTTTTAAAAATAATTCTTCAAAATAAGGCATAGGCAGGTATGTGAGAAATAGAAATATACAGACCTAAAAAGGAAAACAGGTCCAGGAATCAGCCCACAGCTTTTCTGGGGACAACTACCTCTAGTAGTGACTGTTTTGAAAGGAATGATTCCTGGAAGGGTTGCTTGCTTTGCTGTCTTTAGAGTTCCACGGCCCTGACCCAGCTGCCACCTCTAAAACAAAGAGCTCTCCTCCCTCCTACAGTATCAGTCTTCTGGCAAAGAGCAAGACCATCCCTTCATTTGAAACAGAGTGGAGACATAGCCAAGTGGGAAGCCCAGAAGTGCCGAATGCTCAGCCACTTTCCCTGCCAGTCCCCATCCTCCCTACCATGGGAGCCAAAAGGGCGGTGTCTCAGAAGCAGGGTGAGACAGGGGCTGGTGCCCCCACCTCCCTCCAGCCAAAGAAGGGGCTTTGATCACCTTCTATGTCTGCTGCCGCCTACCTGCAAGCACACTCTTGGCTTTGCAGATGGAAAAATAGCAGGAGGGAGGGGGAGAGGAGGGAGAAAGAGGAAGAGGGTTGGACATAAGGGGAGGGTGGGAAGGAAGATAGAAAACAACTGTGTTAGGGAAGGGTAAGAATGGAGATAAAAGAATGATTATGTTTTTGTATTGTTTTTATTAGCTCTCCACCATGTTTCTTAAGCTCTGGACTTGGCTTGGAAAAACCTTAGAGGCAGAAGATGTCTACTCCTTTATTGGATGCATGGTGCTGTCCCCTTTTCACAGCTACTCACCAATCCCATGAACCAGGCCTCAGACCTTCTAGCTAACTGCTTCCCATGAGCCACTACTCTTATGTCAGCCTATAACGAAAAAGTAGGGGCCAGGCCTGATGAACAACTCTTCTCAGTTACCTAATGACACTCAAATAAGGGACTTCCCACCTGAAGGCAGAAGGCAACATCACAGCCCACGTGTTTTGCCCAAATTCTGTTCTGCCATACCTGGAACCACTCTGCCAAGGACTACCCTCCCTGGCGTGTGGTCAAGAAACCCTGGTGATCCTATTTTATGGTCTGTGTGACCACTACATACACATGGGCTCCTGGGCATCTTTGGGAGAAAGGACCATACTCTACAGTTCTACACTACTGGCAGCAGCCCATCCCCACACCACAGGTGACCAAATCAGCAGACTAAGTATTTTATGAAATAATTTTGAATATGTTTAAACCAAGACTGAGGTAGGTCTTCACATTAAAGGATAATATGATGCTGGTCAACATGAAAGCCCAGAACTATATAGATGTTCTCTAAGCATTTAATCTCATTCTCCCTGCTATCCTTAACCTAGAGGTGCCCTATCCAATATGGTAAGCATTAGCCACACGTGTCTATTTAAATTAATTAAAATCAAATAAAATTAGAAATTTGGTTCGTCAGCTATAGTTCCCACAATGCAAGTGCTCAACAACCACATATGGCTAATGACTCCTGTAGGAGACAGCAGGGATAGAGACCATTTCCATCTCTGTAGAAAGTTCTATGGGATAGCATTGTTCTAGAGAACTGAATACGTCTAAGGAATGGATTTTAGTTTTAATAGAAGGATCTGGTTTCATTAGCACTATCTTATAAAAAATGTTTATAAAAATCATTATTAAGTATAAGATTAAACACATGTATACATTTACCTACCTGCAAGAACCACTTTTAGAGATGTTTAAGACAGTTCCACCTATTGATGAGTTGATTTCTTGGGAAAGATTCTTGGCTTTCAGATTGACAGGTACTGGAACTCTGTAACGACAGACATTTAGAGTACAATGCATATACACCTATAAATTCTGTGATGCTCAAGTCCAGTCATTGCTCAGAAACTTACTTCTTTCTCTTATAGAAATGTCTCCCGAGGTGTGAGGGTAAGAGCCGCCGGATTCTTGCATCAGAAAGGAACAAGTCGAAACTACCCAGGAGGCGGAGCTTGGCTTCATAGGCTTTATACTCCTTTTTTAAAGTTCGGAGGGGGATAATCTAGAAAACACAGAACACAAAAAGAATATGAACAACTACAAGAAATACTCAGGGAACAATTTGTATTCAGATTTTAAAATGTCCTTGAGCCAGTTTAGTGAACACGTGAGTGCCTAAAATGCGCCAGGCACTATGCTAAATGCCACGAACATGGAGACAAATAAGATGGGACGACCTCAGCTAAAGAAATGACACCAACAACTGTAAGACAGGGTGAGAAATGCCAAGTCAGAGGCAAACACAGGATGCTCCAGAAGTTCAGAGTAAATGACCTAATGGAACAACTGTTTGTAAAATCTTCAAGAAAGGTACTCGTGTACACAGTGAGCTCGTGGATCAACAAACCTGGACAGCTGAGCCATCAGATGAAAGATGGAATATGTCCTACCTAAAGCCAAGGAGAATTAAGTTAAAAAGAAAAAAGTTAAATTAAATTCCTAGGAGAGAAATACTAGGTGATACAGCCATGCATTATTTTTCGCTTCATTTGACTCAAATCTTTTCATTATCTTGAAAATATTAACTGCTCCCTACCTGAGAAATGGTTTTTATTCCATGCTTGTTTAGAAGCTTCTTATAAAAACGTTCCGTCTTTTCAGGAGTTGCATTGGGTTCGTCCTTAGTAAATAAACAGACATCTGCTAAATCTGATCGAATACCATGAGGCAAGGGCCTGCAAAATACAGAAGAAACCACAGAATAAAGCATTATTGTACAGAGAAAGTGTTTATACGCCATAGAATACACAATCAATTTACTGTCATTTCAGTAAACTTCACTCACACTATCTAAGTAAACACTACAGGGTGCTTCCCCCAAATGTGAGTAATTATAAAGGCAGTATTTATTAAAATACATTTAATCTTCAAAATTGAGCTATCAGCTGTTAAAGTGTGTATATGTTCTCTATATTGAGAACATTTTAAAAATATGTCTGACTTTCAATAGCACAGAGATTTAAGATGGAAGTCACCACAAATACCCATAGGTCAAAATATCAATTAATATTTGGGACAGAATAAGAGTTCAAATACAAACACACCCAGAAGAGTGCATATATAACTATTATTTCACATGTTACTATATGTGTACACATCCTATAATGTGCTAGAATGGATTTCCAGCAGGGCAGATCTGATTTAGAAATTACCATGGAGAAAACTCTCGGCTCCATAAACAACAGAGCTCTTAAGAGCTGAAAAGAAAATATGGAGCAACCAAGAGGGACCAAGAGACATGCCATGATTACTAGGCTGTGTTAAAAAGAAAAGAAAAAAAAGGTTTAATGCACTTCCTAGGCCTGTATGTTTTAAGGAAACAGTTCCTTTGTTTAAGAAGAGATAGTAATACACAGTAGTAGCATGACCTGGCAAACGATGTGGGAAGAACTGTGAAGCTGGTAAGTGACAAAAATCACCAAAAAGGTGTGAGCAGCTGGGAAAATATTCCAGAGAAAGTAAGGGGGCTTTCCCAAAGGGAAAACTGCCTGAGCAAATGTATGGAAAACAGAATGCAGGAGGAATACATAAAGCAGTAAGTAAGGGAAGCTGGCTGAGGTAGGTTTGTAAACATTACTTATTGAAGGGTTTGAGAATCAAAAGGTTCTTTCCAATTTGTAATCATTCTTGGTCCTTCCTCCCCTTCCCAGAAAAGAAACTAACTACCCTATACACTGCTTTCTTTAGCACAGCTGGCTTTTTGATACTCAGGAAATGAGGGACTCCACAGAAAGGCAGTGTTGTCAGATAGCAGACAACACACCCAGTTACATTTTAATTTTTTTAAAAATAGGTCCCAAGTATTACCTGGGACTTACTTATACTAAAAAATTACTTGTGTTTTTATTTATTACGCCTGGCAATTGCAGAGGTGCATCTCTGACCTAAAAGTCCTAGCAATGAGAATGTGTAATTGCCATTGGTTTCTTTTCTATAAGGAGTTCACTGCCAAGTTTTATATAGTGTCTGTATAAAGCAGCGAGTTCAGCCTGGCTGGTGTTGCTCAGTGGCTTAGCGTCGACCCATGCACCAGGAGGTCACTGGTTTGATTCCCAGTCAGGGCACATGGTAGGGTTGCAGGCTCAATCCCCAGCAAGGGGCTGCTGCTGATCGATGTTGATATTCTCTCCCATCAATGTTTCTATCTCTCTAAAATCAATAAAAACATATTTTAAAAGAGGCGAGTCTGGGACATCAGGGGTTTTAGCTTGGAAGTAGTTTGACATGAAAAGATGACAGATTCTATTAAAGTACAAAAGCTGTTTAATTTATTCTAACTTTTGTTCTCTCAAAAAATAGATTTCGTATTCAATAGAACTGCTTAGGTTAATTGTCCACCAGACTGGTGAAATTTCTAAAAAATTTAAGCTTGTCTGAATTCCTCTGTGTTTTTTGTAAAGCACAATTATTTGTATCAACTCAGATTTTTATTGAGTTTGCAAAGTTTACACTAGAAACTAAATCACGACTGTTAACACTACACAGAATTGACTGATTAAAACAGCAAAGGCAGAAAACCAGAACTTACAATCTGACCCTCAGTTCTTTACTTGGAATTTTCCATAATACCACCATTAAAAAGAAATTTTCATTCTCATTCAAAAGCAATCCATTCGCGTTTTTCCTGGACCTGGAATGGGCCAACAGAGTTTTCACTGCCTTTCTGGTCTGCAAAGTGAAGATAGACAAGTAAATTAAATCTCAATCCAATTTAGCATTTGCCCTCTTCCTACAGCTTTTACCTTTTTTCCCCTGCTCTATTTCTAGTTTAACAGGCAACCTCCAAAACCATAGCTATTAGGATCCTACAATTTGTAGTCACAGGAATGCAGAACCCTCCGTTCGTCTGCAGAAAAGTGCCAGATGGCACATGCTTCCTCCCCCGCCCGCGATGATGAAGGCAGTGATCCCAGTAAACGCGCATCACACTGCAACTAGCATTCACTGAGCGCTGACTGTACGCCAGGCCCTTGGCTACAGCGCCGCATGCGCATTGCCTCCTCTAATCCTGGAGAGCGGAGGGCAGCAGAGCCCATTCTAAATACGAGGTAACCGAGGCTTACAAAATTAAACGACTTGGCCACAGTCAAACGGTAGGGAAGTAGAGCCAGGTACACCTCGCTCAAGAATCCCAAGCTATATACCTGCATTCCAATTCAAGAGAGCCAGGCCGCAGGGTCGGGGTAAGCGAGCGCCTACCCGTGCGCATGGAAGGGCGGGCAGGCCGAGAGTACCGCGACCAGTGACCCTCAAATCTTCGGGGAATCGGAGGAAGCGCGAGCCCGCCTCCAGCACGCCGCGCACCACAAGGCCAAGGCCACCTCGCTTCCGAATCCCCCTCCCAGAGGCCTCTCACCTGCTCTTCATCCAGCTGCCCTAGTGCGGCCGGGGTTGCTGAGGTCGAGGCTGGAGTTGCGGTTGAGGCTGGGGTTGCGGTTGAGGCTGGGGTTGCGGGTGGTGTTGAAGCGGAGTCCTCCATTTCTTTCCGCCTCGTGCAGACTCGCGTGCGGAACACCACACCTGGCTCCCCAGGCGCATGAAGTTAGGGAGCGTGGGGCGGGTCCTCGCGTCACTTCCGGGCGTCGCGTCGTAGAGGTTTGGCGGGCGCGAGCAAACTGAGTGTGTGGCTCCGCCTGTAGTCGGAGTCTCTGAGGTGACAACTCTCCGTGTTTCCGTGAGGCTCGGGGAGCAGCCTGGCGACATTTTGGTCTCTCTCGTTCACAAAAGACATCGAGCAAGCTCCTGGAGGCGGGAGAGGAGGCCAGTCCATGCACCCAGTGAGGTCACCGGCTCTCCGTGGACCCCGCCTTTGGGCAGGCCCCGAGGGGCGTGAGGAGAGCGGGACGTTCTGGCCCCACCACCCACCTGTCCGGTGACTTTGGGGGAACCACTGACGCTGTCCAGCCAGTCTCCTCCAACACGAAGGTGGCGGGAACCTCCCCACCGCTGGTGAGAATTACGTGGAATCAGGCGCGGGAAACACCGCGCGCGTCGTTAAACGGTGGGGGGCCCCGAACGAGGAGCCAGAGCCTCTGAGGTGGGAGGTAAGAGCGTCCACACCGAGCGTGCAGCCTGGAATGCGGCGGAATCTGCCCCCGCCCCGCTTCCCCAGAAGTGACCACTGCCCCTGGGAACCTGCCAAGGGTACTCAAGGCATGTTTACGAAATAGTTGTAATTTTTCTCTCTCTCTATGGCTGGTGTCATTTTTTCTCTCTGTGTGTGGCTGGGTTTGGTCTTTTTTTTTTTTTAAACAAGTGTAGCCAAGTCTACTTATTGTTCTGTACGTTGACTTTTTCTCTTTCTCTCTTTTTACATTGATGTGAGAGAAAGACATACTGCCTGGCTGTCTCCTGCGCGCGCCCCCAGAGCGAACCAGCAACCCAGGTAGTGAGTGCCCTTGACCTGGAAGAACCCGCGACCCTTGGGTGCGCGTGGCCACGCTCTAACCACTGGGAAACACGGGCCCGAGCGGTTTTTTCCTCTTAATGTGTCTTGGAGGTTGGCCAAGTCAGTACAGAATGCTCTGCCTCATCTGTTTTAACTCGGAATGTCCTTCCAGCATGTAGATAAAAAATAGTTTATTTGGGAGTTTTTCTTCGTTTTTGTTTTTTCTTTTTAGGAGCTTTTCAATGGACCTTCAGGATGGATGGTTGTAGTCTTTTTGGAACTAGCTGTGGAAATGTTTGAGAGAGAAGGAGGAGAGGAGACTTTCCATATCAGTTGTTTTCCCCCCAAAAATGCTCCTTCCACATTGCCAAAGGTGGAGGAATGGGGTATTCGGCTGATCTCTAATAATGACTGTCTTTGATCCATTTTAGAAGAAATTTTCTTAAATCTCTGTTACTTACTCTCACTTATCTATTCTAGAATCTAGTGTAAGGTGAAACTAGTTTGAGCACAAGATTATGAATTGTTACATTCGGCTTCATTTATCAGTTTTTCTAGTATGTGTTAAGAGCCTTAGGGCGGTCAGATGTGTCGCCTGCATTCAAGTTTGAGAACCAGGCTGGTAGGCCAGGGGAATAGGTATGAAGTCAGGAGAAGGTACACGGTGGTGTTTGCAAGTAGTAAGTAGCGGGATCAGGAATGTGCAGAGGGGAGGAATGGGAGATGAGGCTAGAAGAGTAGGTTAAGGAATTTTTGTTGTCTAGCTGAGGGTTTATACTCTGGAGGAATCGTACAAGGTTTTTGAACTGGTGCTAAGAAAAGAAGAGGAGGTGGTGATGAACTGTGCTTTAGGAAGGTTAATAATTTGGATGTGGTATTGTGGTGGTTTAAAAAATGTCATGCTCACAAATTCTTTGATACTGAGTGTGGGCTGGACTTAATGACTTGGTTCCATCAAATAGAATGTAGCAGAAAGGATGTCACTTCTGAGATTAAGTTATAAAGATTATAGTTTCTGCCCGGAGTGTTCTTTTTCCCTCCATCTCTCCTGCTCTCTCTTTCCTTCATATTACTTGCTCTGAGTGAAGTCAGCTACCGTGTCTTAAGGCTCCTCAAGCAACCTGCCAGCAACCACGTGAGTGAGCTTGGAAGTGGATTCTTCCTCAATCAAACCTTGAGATAACTTCAAAGTCTTGAGAAACCCCGAGCCAGAACCATTTAGCTATGTTGCTTCCAAATTCCTGACCCATAAAAAGTGTGATTGTAACTGCAGAATCCGTTCAGACAGGCTCTGTCCTATTTCTAACAAGATATTGAGTTGCTTTTCAGAGACACATACCAAAACCACAAGTCATGCAGCTGAAGCATGTTCAGAGGAGACAATTTGACCTCTAGTTGCACCCAGAACCAAAGCTGCCCTTCCCCCCACCTCCCAGAACAAAACGACTGGGACATGACCAAAACTTGAACTCTGGAACCCTTTCAGAAGCAAAGGGTCGGTTGTCCCAGGAAGATCTGATGCTGAAGCCCCTTACCATATCTTTCAATAAATGGCCAAGGTCCAAAGCTCTTCAATCAAAACTTGCCCTGCCAGTGCTTTTATATACCAGTCTTCTTTCTCCTAACCTCTTAAAACTCACCTGGATTAGAAGAGATTTGAGCCTTGTTTTCTGTCTCCTTGCTGGTGACTTCACAATAAAACCTTTTCTCAAAAGCCAATGTCATAATATTGGCTTCTGTATGCAATGGGCGGCCAGTCCTTGTTTAGTAACAAGATAATGTTTTGTTTAGTTTTTTAAGTATATTTTATTGATTTTTTACAGAGAGGAAGGGAGAGGGATAGCGAGCTAGAAACATCGATCAGCTGCCCCCTGCACACTCCCCACTGGGGATGTTCCCGCAACCAAGATACATGCCCTTGACCAGAATCGAGCCTGGGACCCTCCAGTCCGCAGGCCGACGCTCCATCCACTGAGCCAAACCGGCCAGGGCAAGATAATGTTTTTTAAGCCATTGAGTTTGGGGTGATTTGTTATCCCTCAACAGATAATAGAAATTTGCAGACCTCCCATCTTGAAACTCGTCAACCGTTGATGTAGAAGTCCTATTAGAGCTTCATACTCAGCATGCGAGCTCATTATCTTTCCCTCGAAGTGCTCCTTCTGTTTTCTCTGTCATTGGCACCCCCAACAGCCTAGTTGCCCAGAATATGGGAGTTAATCTTTTCTCATCCCCAAAATATAGTCAATAATAAAATCTTGTTTATTCCTATTAAATATCTCTTGAACTTATCCCTTCTACGTAGTAGTGTAGGGCATCATTTTTTTCCTCCAGTTTTGCATCTTGTAGTCCATTCTCTGTCCTTCAGTTGGAGTGATCTTTGTAACGTCCAAAGTCATAAACAGTGCTTGTAAAGGAATACTACAGGTAGTTATATTAGAGCCAATGGTGATAAAGGAAAACTAAATACAGGGAGTCCCAAAAAAATGTACACACACTTAACAGCTGATAGCTCAATTGATGTTTCTTTCTTCATATTTAACCTGTTGGAGTGAATAGTTATTCAAAGTGTATATATACATTTTGGGGGGACACCCTGTGTAAGTATCTTGAACCAAATATGTGAATTACTCCTTTTTGTTGTTAATCCCCTTTTGAGGATATTTTTCCATTGATTTTTTTTTCAGAGAGTGGAAGGGAGGGAGAGAAACACAGAGAAAGAAACATCGATGTGAGAGACACATTGATTGGTTGCCTCCCACACACACCCCGACCAGGGCTGGGAATCAAGCCTGCAACTGAGGTACATGCCCTTACCTGGAATTGAACTTGGGACCCTTCAGTCTGTGGGCTGACGCTCTGTCCACTGAGCCAAACTAGCTAGGGCGAAATACTTTTTAAAAAATTCTCATCCAAGGATTTTTTGTTGTTGATTTTAGAGAGGGAGGGGAAGAAGAAACATTGATTGGTTGCCTTCCGAATGTGCCCCCACCTGGGATCAAACCTACAACCTGGATATGTGCCCTGATTGAGAATAGAACCCGACTTCAGTGTACTCAGGATGATGCTCCAACCAAGCCACACCAACCAGGGCATGAATTATTTTTAAAAAATTAGTATGTACTGCCGAAACCGGTTTGGCTCAGTGGATAGAGCGTCGGCCTGCAGACTGAAAGGTCCCAGGTTCGATTCCGGTCAAGGGCATGTACTACCTGGGTTGCGGGCACATCCCCAGTAGGAGATGTGCAGGAGGCAGCTGATCGGTGTTTCTCTCTCATCGATGTTTCTAACTCTCTATCTCTCTCCCTTCCTCTCTGTAAAAAATCAATAAAATATATTAAAAAAAAAAAAAATTAGTATGTACGGACTAAGACTCTTGGGAAGGAAATAAGGTAATTAGAGCATACACTTCTAATGGCCATCATTTATTCTAGATTGGGAGGTATATAGTTCTTAACTACAAATCTACAGTATCCAAGGTATTGATGCTGTTTTTCAGAGAACATCTCTGAAAGGGGTCTCATGGGTCAAGAAGTGTAAAATTCTCTACCATCAGTTTTCTGCTCACTGCAGTACATTGCCTATGAATGGTTGGATGCCCAAACACATTTAAGAAAGTTGTTTTTTCAACAACAAACCCAATGTTTGATGGACTGAGTTGGAGAGCTGGCCATTGAAAAGTGTGGGAAATGTCAAACCATTTATTTAGAACTTTTACATGAACCCCTGCTTTCATGGCAAACTTGCTCATAAGTTTTAAGCTAAGATTCATTTAATGTCAAACACCCATACTAGATATTGAGGAACAAAACCCTGAAGTGATTGCCTTCACCTAATGTTAAACAAGAACTCATCCTAACTCCATAATAAAAGATGAGTATATACGGAAATGTATAATGCCTGTTTATCAGTAATTTCTTTTTGCCTTTATACTGTAAAGAAGGACAAGTACTATATGGTCTCTTGATCATTATTTAAAATTCTGAACAATAGAAGTTTGTAGTTTTGGCAGAATCATTGATGTTCCCTCAATTCTGTTCACATAAGCCACATACTGTTATATAGTTATTTGATTTATTGTTAAGCATCTGTAACTTCCTACCAGGTTGCTGTTTTGTTAAGAATCATGCACTGTACAAAGGCCTTGCATACTATATGCAAGCAGACCACGTTTGTAAATTCCTTATGTGACAGAGCTTATTAGATCCATCTAATTAGGTCCATGCTGGTAAATAGTTCCAATACTTGATACAAAAAAAAGGATTGTACAGAAAATTGATATAATGCAGGTAATTATAAACAAACAGACAAATTCTTCAAAAGAGTAGGTGACAATTTTTATTATTACAAAAGCAAGTATTTTTAAACTTGTCATTTGAGTAATTGCAAGAGCAGACTAAGGGCTTAATCCTCACACAGGCACCAATTCAGGCACAGTAGGTAGCTACAAATCATAAGAAAAAGGTTTCTTTACCTTGGATTCCCCTAATTCCTACCTATAGCATTCTGCCATGCTTTGGAATTTAGTTTCTTAAAAAACCAGCAAACCTAATTAGCGCCCCCCCCCCCCCACCTCTTTTTTAAATGAGAACTAGGTACTAACCTATCTAGTGAAAACTAGATTCTAAACCTTGGCCTGAAAGAGATCCACATTTCCTTTAGAACAGAAGAAACTAGCTAAGATGTGTCTATTTCTGCGAGCCCACTGCGAGTTCTTAAAATGCAGACCTTCAAAGCTCAGACCTGTTTCACCTAATTCATGTGGATGATCACCTGAGGAATGAATGCAGGAGTTCCAGCTCCAGCACAAATACTCTTCCAGGGCAGCAGGAAAGGAGGTAGCAGGGACTTGGGCTGACATCTGAAGCACTAAGCTAATGTGCCTGGCAGAGGGGACAAACCTGAGGTTTCCACGTTAATTTTTAAATGGCACAGTGGCATGTGTGACAAGGCAGAAAAGGCAATTGCCATCCCAAGAGTTGCTTAAGAAATTCTGTGTAATTTTCTGCCTAATCAGACATGGTGCCTCTGCTTTTCCCTTAAGTTGGAGAACATAAAGGTTTTAATCACCATTTCCTCCAGGGCCCTTATAACATTCCTTAGTAAACAACTTGCTAGCATATTACTGTTTCAAGGAAGCATAGGATTAGAGGTATGTGAAAGTGTATTTATTGAAGGGAAGACTTAATATGTTCTAGGATATTGAAAATCAAGAATATCTTAGAGCCAAAACCATTACAAGTTGAACCAAATCTACCCTGTCTGAATTCCAACAGTAAATTGGTTCAAATGGGGTCCACTGAACTACTACAGGAATATAAGAACACTTCTGTTCCATTTACTATCAAATCTAATATCACCAACTGGCTGCTAAATTTAAATCTAGTCTTTTGAGTTGTGCTATGTAATTACATTTATTTAACAAGTTGATGCCATGGCACGATCTCTAAAGAAAGAAACAAGATCATGAATGTATTAGATGCTATCTGCTAGAATCACTGAGAAATTTGCTGGAGGAAATAAAAGCTGTATTATTTGGAGACAGAAAATCGTCCCCTAAATCCTATTGATTGCTATCTACCTTACATATGTCTGTGAGAGGATTGATAGCACAGTTTATTCTGATAAGGTAGGCCAACACTGAATATAACACTTAACCTACAATCAGAGCTATAGTGCTGGAACCAGAATTTTCACAAAGATTTTAAAGGTTGATAGTTGCCTGATGTTAAGAGCTGTAATAAAAACTGTGTATTTGTCCCTTGACTACCTTAAATCCCTACCCAAAGCAATGAAGCTACCATCCATGAAGCAGCAGTCAATGAGGAAGTCCATGCCAATGATGAAAGGTGCTATAGTGCTGTCATGTGGACTAGTCATCAAAGATCACGGAGTAATTAGTCATAAATAGTGTTCCTGAAGATTGCCAGGGAGTTTAGCTGACTTTTTTCAAAAGTTCATCATGGAAGCAGTTTTTGACCATAGGTTCACCTTTTTCTTGGATTACAAAACTGCATCTTGTTGAAACTATGACCCAAAATATCTGCAGCACTCAGCTGATAGGATGGCATCACGCTCAAAGTACATCCCATATTGTAAAGCAGTTCTTGTACTCTATATAACTAGCAGACAAGTATTAATTGCCTCGTTACAGTGAACAACCTGGACTTTTTTACAATTTACAAAGTTTTTACATTCAATTATCACATATATCAAGACTTTCAATTCAAACAAACAAATGTACATGGGCTTAATTCAACAACTTTACTATTTGTTTACATTAAGTTCATGGCAGTACATACTCAGTTCAACTCTTTTGATTTTACATAGATTTTTCACTGGGCAAATCCTTTTTTTGCAAATGAAAAGCAAGGAATAGATACTATACCAGCCCCCCACAGTAAGAAATAAGGGTTTAGAATAGCAATTACTTAGACATTTATTTCAATGGTATCTTTCTTCTTAAATTCAGTTAATTAATTTTAAAAAACTATAATTAAATAATCTAGCATGAAAGTTGTATAAACAACATCAGTAATGTAAAAAGATGCAAAGACAATTGTTCTAACACATTTATGCTAAAGATGAAATGTTTAGGTCTGTAATATCCCAAATCTGCTGCCAATTGTCCTCTATTTTTGCATTGTCAACCATATAAACAAACCTGCACTTGCAGAAGACAAAATGACAGCATAGGAATCTGTATTGCTTTTTAAAGGTCCAACATCACCACACACTGCCAGTTTATTTCAGGCATTTATTTCCCCATCCAAATAACTATCCATTGTAATTAATTTAAAATGCAGCAACTTTAAGAATACTTCTCTAAAAAATGTCAAAGCTCATAAAGCATATGGTGTTGGTTAATTTAACAATGAGATTATTGTTAAATAATTATTTGCACAAATGTGCAAGAATTCATGAAGTTTTTCTTCCATAATTACATTTTAGATGTAGGCCCTTCACAGTTGATAGCCATGTTTTACTTAAGAGTGTTGGCAACATGCACATAATATTCTAAAAATGTAAATGTCTTAATAGCAAGCATAACTGGTTTTTAAAATGTGTTCAATTTAAAAATGGAACTCTATCTTTAGAAGTAATTTTAACAACTCTTGAGTTTTTAAAGATTCATTAAAATCCAAGCAATTACTACTATTCTGTTATTAACTTGGAAGTACAAAAAGTTATTATGTACTGATTAAAATTCCCATATTTCCCAGAAAAATAAAAGCCCAGAGATGTGCAGACATAATAGAATTAAAATTCATGCAATTTAATAGCCATGAGTATAGTTACAGGAAGCTGCAAGAGAATAATGTAGCCCTGTTCATAAAATATAGCCCATTCATGAGATGAATGGGATTTCTATAGTTAAGAAAACAAGAGTTAAATTAAGTTTCAGGTTTTGTGATTGGAATTACAGCTTGACTAGGCTTTTCTTTTCTAAGGAAGACTTCAGGGAATTAAATTAATGCATTAAATAAATAATTACAGTGTATCTTATTTAGAGATAAATTATAATCTAAAAAAGGCCAAGTCTTCAATAAATGGCAACACTCAAAATCAAGGGGACTTCCAATAAACAGAAATTCTTTTCCATTTCCCATTTATTCTCATTAAAAATGTCAAAGTCATGAGTTGTAGCAGAAAGTCATCCTTCAATCTAAAAACCACCACAATGCTACACTGTGGTTCATCCAAATCATAGTTTAACAAATTTCAGCTTTATATTTAAGAAAACAATTTCAAATAGTTGAAAAAAGCTTATACTGTGCTTGATTCTACTTATCACTGTTAACTGTAATCTGTGCAAATTCTGATGGTTCCTAAGAATGCGTTCATTTAGTTGCTGGATGAGATTTATCGTTAACCAGCAAGGAACACCCAAACATTTAAAATTAGTGATACAAATAGTAAAATGAGTACTTTGTAGATCTGGCACTTCCAATTGATAATCTTCTTACTAGATGCATGCAGCTCTTATAAATTCTAAAGGAGGCATTTTTGCCAGGTCTCACCATGCTTTCTTTATTGTAAATTCCACTAATTGAACATGGTAATGGAATTTATTGTAGGGGTACAATTATGCTTTCTTATAAAAACTACAGTATGCTTTTATTTTAAAACAATTTACTGTGTTTAAGAAATAATGTTAAAATATAAATTGACCAAAAATAACTGATAGATCTAATAAAGCAGTGTCACAGTTACAGAAAGGTATTTAATTATATGTATGCATTACCATCAAAAAGAGGTCAAACTAATTCTTTCCTTTAATACAAACTTGAATACTGTTTGTAAATGCCTCATTTAAAGTAGTGGATAGGGAAAGAGTTTAGAAAAGTCCAAGTAATAAAATGCATTCAATTACTTGGTAACGTTAAAAAGCTAATGCAACAATGTTATATCCAGATAAAAAACATTATTCAAAAGCAATTCAAATACCGAAAAGGGTTTCAAATTGAATATTTTATTAACATGGTAGTTGTCTTCGTAACATGTGCACACACACTCGCACACTCAGAATGATCTGCCTGGGGGGAAAAAGACTATGTATGCCTAAGGGGAAAATGAAAAATTAAAAAATTTCTATAGGTTTTCATTATTGTAGGCAATTATGTCCACATCACTTACAAAGCTATTGCCAAATCTGTCCAAGGAAGCAGTTTGAGAGGGGAAGAAAAAAATATTGGGAAAAATTCAACAGTGGCATAGCAGAGCTCTCAATATGAGAAAGCTGACATAATGTGGACTTTTGCTGTGAATTTTGTCTTGCAAAATATGGGGAGAGGTTTGTCAATGGGCAGAAAATATGAGAAGGCGGTGTGAAGTAGGCTTTTGCAGTCAATTTTCCTCACAGTATTGTGCAGGGTCATCAAGAAAATGCTTAGTCTTTCTCTGGAACCAGTTTCAGAACTTTTCCAATTGCAATGGTCTTACCTGAAAATAAAACAAAAACAAAAAAACTTTTTCAGTAGTTAACAGCAAAGCCATCTAAGGTATTTAAAGGTTATTAATTTAAATCTTAATTTTTACAATGTGAAGTATTAACTTCAGTTTTGGATCTGACAACCCTTTCATGCTGATACCTCAGCATGACAAAAAGCGTCTTGCTGACAACAAAGACATGATTTCTGATTAAGAAGTCTTAATAAGTGGATCTTTTGAGGGGGAGAGGGAGAGAGGCTGAAAAAAAGACATGATTTCCTATATAAGAAATCTCTTACCCTACCTGGTTTGGTTCAGTGGATAGAGTGTCAGCCTGCACACCTAAGGGTCCCAAGTTTGATTCTGGTCAAGGGCATGTACCTTGATTGCAGGCTCCTCCCTGGCCCAGGGGCCCTGGTCAGAACACATGCAGGAGGCAACCAATCAATATGTTTCTCTCACATCAATATTTCTCTCTGTCTTTCCCTCTCTCTAAAAATCAATGGAAAAGTATCTTCCAGTGAGGATTAAAAAAAAATCTCTTAGAAAAAGTAAAATGTGGAATATTAGTACACTTGAATACTATTTGGCAACAAAAAGGAATGATTTATATACAATACATGATATATAACATGGTTGAATCTCAAAAAACATACTGAGTGGCCCTGGCCTGGTGGCTCAGTTGGTTGGAGCGTCAACCCGTACACCAAAAGGTTGTGGTTTTGACTCCTGGTCAGGGCAGCACATATCTAGGTTGCAGGTTCTATTGGACATATACGGGAGGCAACTGATCGATGTCTCTCTAAAATTGATATTTCCCTTTTTCTCCTTCCTCTCCCTAAAAATAATTTTTTAAAAAGCCACCCTCCAATGAAGATTTTTAAAAACACACACACCATACTGAGTGGAATAAACTAGACACTAAAGACCACAAATTTTATGTTCTATTTATATGGCTTATCCAATAAGGCAAATAGAAAAAAATGCTGTGATTGCCTAGGTCTGGGGGTAGGAGTAGGAGATAACTGTAAATAGGTATAAGGGCTTCTTTTTAGCTATAATAAACATTCTAAAATTAGAATGTGATGACTGCACAACTCTGTAAAGATATTAAAATTCATTGCATTGTACACTTAAAACAGGTCTATTTCATAGTATGAATTATCTCAAAGATGTTAAGGGGCTCTCCGTCTTATGGGGGGAAAAAAACTAAAAATCAGCCTACTACAGTGAAACCTCATTTCTCGAAGGTCTCCCATCTTGAACAATTTGGTTCTTGACCAAGATGTTCACAGAAAAAGAAATGTCTGGGTTTTTCACCTGACAATCCTTTCATGCTGATACTTCAGCATGACAAAAAGGGTCTCAGACAACAAGCAAAGGACAGGATGCTAATGTTGCCCTAGCCCAGTGGTCGGCAAACTCATTAGTCAACAGAGCCAAATATCAACAGTACAACGACTGAAATTTCTTTTGAGAGCCAAATTTTTTAAACTTAAACTATACAGGTAGGTACATTGTTATTAACTTAATTAGGGTACTCCTAAGCTGGCCTTTGCTAAAAACGTCCTCAATCTGATTGAGGTACGTTCGCCGAGGTCGACCCCTTCCAACTCTCCCATCCATACTTGTCTTGTATACTTGTTTCAGATAGACTAGTGTGGATGGGAGAGTTGGGAGGGGTCGACCTCGGCGAACGTACCTCAAAACAATGTACCTCCCCCACGCTGCGTCTCCCGTCACCCGATCGACCGACACCCCCCACTTCTTCTAACGCCACTTCTTCAAAATAGACTCGCCCAGGCTGAAAACCAACTTCTGTGCATGGGCCACGAAGTTTCAATCGCACTGTGCGCGCCCCCGTGTGGTATTTTATGGAAGAGCCACACTCAAGGGGCCAAAGAGCCGCATGTGGCTCGAAAGCCGCGGTTTGCCGACCACTGCCCCGGCCCAGGTTTGACTGCGGTCAAGGGCATATGCCAGGATTGCAGGCTCAATCCCCAGTGGGGGCCATGCAGGAGGCAGTGATCAATGATTCTCATCATTAATGTTTCTATCTCTCCCTCTCCCTCTCCCTTCCTCTCTGAAATCAATAAAAAAAATTTTTTTTAAAAAAGAGTGCTAATGTTGCCAAGGGTCTGAAAGTGCTCACAAACAGCAATCAAATTTGGATAAAGGAAAAGCAGTTAGCTGGTGATAGCATTTCGGAGGCAATGATACAGAAAAAAATTCCTTTAAGGCTAGTAGGGGGTGGTTTGATAAATTTAAGAAAAGTAGTATTTATTTATAAATTAAACAGTACATTAAGCATGTACTGTATATAAGAAAAGTTGAAACAGAATCATTTGGGGGTTTGGAATGAATTAATTCAATTTACATAATTTCTAATGGGGAAAAACGATTCAGTTTTCGAACAAATCACTTCTTGAGCAGCCTTTTGGAATGAAATTCGATAAACGAGGTTCCACTACATTTAGGAAAAAATAATTATTGGGGGTTAAAAATTCATGCTACGTTAATTTCCTCTGTAATTTTGATATATATATTTATTTAAATATATTTTTATTGTTTTAAGAGGGAGAGGAAGAAAGAGATAGAAACATCAATGATGAGAGAGAATTATTGACTGGCTGCCTCCTTCACTGCCCACACTGGGGATCTAGCCCACAACCCGGTCATGTGCTCTGTCTGGGAATCGAACCGTGACCTCCTGGCTCATAGGTGACACTCAACCGCTGAGCCACAGGCCAGTTGGGCTAATTTTGTAATATTAATAGGACAACCCAGTAATCAGTGAATTTCACAAACACCAAGCAGATTTTTAAAATAAAAAATTTTAAGAACTCTATAGTGTCTTTATAAAGATTTCCCTGAACTAGAACTAAGGTGCAACAACCATATTTATCATTATATTTCCAGTGCTAAGCACAGTTTTTGACTTGCAATATAGTCAATTTTTTGCTGAATGGAATTAGAACATACAATTGTATTCTATATTTCAATGGAACCAAAGTTTTATATAAATTTTCCAATCTTAAAATAGTTATCTAAGTTAATCTGTAGAGAAATGTTTAGTAAAAATCATTTTGTTTTCATGATACCAAAGAATTTCATGGCCACAAAACAAAAATTATAGCTCTTCAGATTAACTCAAAAAAGAGCATGAATATTAACCCTCTAAAAAACAAGTGTTAAAAGGCAATCAATCTATATATCCCTTTTATTCCCACCCTCGTATCAGTGCAGTAAATGTATTATATTTGATTTTTAAATGATTTCCTCTGATCACAAAATGACAAGATATGTACCTCAAGCTCACCTTGCAAAATCTTAAAAGGGCAAGATGGGTTTTAATCACATATATTATAAAGGATTACATCACAGAAATGTCTTGCTTATAGTAAATAAATGGCTCTTAAAACTCACTACTGGCAAAATATCAAAATTCTTCTAGAGTAGTGGTTCTCAACCTTCCTAATGCCGCGACCCTTTAATACAGTTCCTCATGTTGTGGTGACCCCCAATTTCATTGTTACAAATTGAACATAATTCAAGCATAGTGATTAATCACAAAAACAATATGTAATTATATATGTGTTTTCTGATGGTCTTAGGCGGCCCCTGTGAAAGGGTCGTTTGACCCCCAGGTTGAGAACTGCTGTTCTAGAGCATTACTGCTAAAATGCATAGCTAATTTTACCTGTTGTCCAATTCATTTAACTCATAAAACATGCACCCAGGTTCTCTATGAACTGTACTCGGGTGAAAAGTCTATTTTAGACATACTTCTACACATCAATTTAAAGGCTTACCCTCATCTCTCAAAGTAAATCGACCCATCTGAGGGAAGTCTTTAAAGGTCTCAAGGCAGATGGTTCCTGCTGTCCTTAAGCGAGCAATGCATACTTGATCTTGTTTCACAAAACGGGGTCGAGTCTTACTTTTTTCTCCTGATTTTTTGTCTACCAAGCAAATTAAGGCCTATCCAAGATAAAAGGATGAAAAGACATCAGAATAATGCCAAATAAAAAAATCTTTAAGAATAGACATGCAAATAAGAGTACATCACTACTGTTGTTAAGAAATTATTAGGATGAAATGGCCTTAAGACACACAAACAAAACCCCCAATTATCTTAATACTCACTGTTATTTCAACTTCCTCAATACAGGTATGAATATGCAGCACCGCATTATAACCTGGGCAGATGATGGATTTGTGCTCTATAATCACTATCTGTCAAACAAAAAGAAAATTCACATCTTTATACCCAGGGCAAAAAAATAATTGAATGTGCTAAAGTGTATATAGTATCACAAGAATATATAACTTACCATCTTAAAAGTTATTTTTGTGTTAGAAGTGATAGGTCAGGTCACTTGACCTCAAAGAATGAACTCTGATATCCTTAACCTACTGATCTTCTTGGCAAGTGCCCAAACTTGCAAAACAGCAGGCAGACTCTTTCCCCTAGTGGAAACCTTTCCCTTATACCTCCCCTAAGGAATCATTACTGCTCACATGCTACTGGGTTCCCTCCACCCCCAGATGTGAACATCATAGTTTTATCCATTTCTCAATATCTAAGGTCCAGTAAAAGTAAACAACCTTGCATCTGGCATCAGAATTTAATTTGATTAGTTATTATACTTTGTAAAAGAACTGAAAAATTCTGTGAGCTACACCAATTTATTCTGTCACTGTCCTGGGGAGGGTCAGGTTACTAATAAGAAAAATTTGGGCATGTTTTTCTGTTTGGAGAGTAATTTGCGCTAACGGAGCAGACAAACCATGACTTCCAAGGCAACTTGCTCTATTTAAAGTGAAAGACACTGAGTAATGATATAAACAGATTAGAAAAAAAGGAATTTACAAAGAATACTATCTAACCAGTAAGAAGACCTTATGTTGTAAGATACCTTATGGCTGTTGTGACACACACACGATTTATTCTATTTCAATTCCCCTTCTACACACGATGACATGTCATCAATAACCCGAACAAAGGACATTTAAATTTCATTTGAACAGTAAACATCACTGAGATAACTATAGTAACTGGTTTACCTGGGCATCAAATGTGCGTCCAGAATGACAAAGATTATTAGGATCACAAAGTATAAATCCTGGAAGAATCTCCTCTTCTTCAATTCCTTTCAGTCTGATTTTGAGGTTTTCACCTGGGGCTACAGAATCAGTTTCTACATCATCAGAAAGGATTCCAAGAACTTCCACGTTGTGCTTAAAAAGAAACCGAGATTGGAGGTTTTCTGACACATTCACTCATTGCATTGCAGACCATAAAACAACCTGTTTATTGAGTTGTTGCATTTTTCTGTGCTTGCTGATTATCCAAAATACTTATTACATTTGTATGACCTGAACTTTAATAAAAATCATACGCCGAAGGACAACTGCCAATTAAAATTATCTGTTACCCATTTGCACGTCCGGGGCGGCCCCTTCGCCTGTGCACCTGGTGGACATCTTCAGATCACTCCAGATTACAACTTTACCACATCCACCAGCGACACACTCAAGGGGCAAACTCAGTGAGCACCAAAGCCCCACTGAAGCAAGTACTGTTCCATAGGGGTGTCTCCTGCACTTCCTCTGTAGTCACAGCTGGTTCTCACATCCAATTGGCCAGGGGGTCAATACCTCCCAAAGACACTAACATCCATCAAGGCTCAACTACACAGGACGGTGCACACAGCTCACATAGGAGCATACCTAGCATGCCCTGCTCAGGTGACTGGGGAGGCTGAGTCACTGGGCTCTACAGAACATCTACTACACAAGGCCACTCTATCAATTCTAGGAGACATAGCAGCTCTACCTAATACACAGAAACAAACACAGGGAAGCAGCCAAAATGCAGAGACAAAGAAACATGTCACAAACGAAAGAACAGAAGAAAATTCCAGAAAAAGAACTAAATGAAATGGAAGCAAACTACTAGATAGAGAGTTCAAAACAATGATTATAAAGATGCTCAAGTAAATTAATGAGAGCTTCAAGGAACTTAGTGAGAAGGGACCAGTCAGAAATGATGGATATACTAACTGAAATGAAAAATTTATAGTGAATCAACAGAGTAGAGCAGGGGTCCTCAAACTTTTTAAACGGGCCAGTTCACTGTCCCTCAGACCGTTGGAGGGCCGGACTATAGTTAAAAAAAAAAAACTATGAACAAATTCCTATGCACACTGCACATATCTTATTTTGAAGTAAAAAAACAAAATGGGAACAAATACAATATTTGTATTTGCATGTGGCCCGCGGGCCGTAGTTTGAGGACCCCTGGAGTAGAGGATGCCAAGAATCAGATCAGTGACTTGGAATATGAGGAAGCAAAACACACCCAATCAGAAAAACAAAAAGAAAAAAATATCCAAAAATAAGAAGATAGTGTAAAAAGCCTCTGGGACAACTTCAAGCATACCAACATATGCATCAGGGGGTGCCAGAAAGAGAAGAGGAGGAACAAGAAATTGAAAATCTATTTGAAGAAATAATGACAGAAAACTTCCCCTACCTTATGAAAGAAATAGGTCAGGAAGTAGAGTCCCAAACAAGATAAACCCAATGAGGCCCATACCAAAAAACATCCCAGCAAAGGTATCGTTTAGAATTGAAAAGTCAGATAAAGAGCTTCACAGACAAGAAAAAGTGAAAGGAGTTCATCACCACCAAACCATTATTACATGAAATGTTGAATGGTATTCTTTAAGGGGAAGAAGGGGAAAAAGAAGATAAAAAAATATGAACAATAAAATGGCAATAAATATGTATCAATAATTGAATCTTAAAAATCAAAATAAACAAGGAATCTAATGAACAATAAACTGATGAGTAAAATAGAACCAGAGGCATGGAAACATGGAACAGACTGATGAATCTCAGAGAGAAGGGGGGCAGTGGGAAGAGATGAACCAAAGAACTTATATGCATACTAGAGGCCTGGTGGATGCACAGATTCATGTACCAGTGGGGTCCCTCAGCCTGGCCTGGGCCCTCTCACAATCTGAGAGCCCTCGGGGGATGTAGTAGTTCGAGAAGCAGCAGGCAGCCAGGGAGGAGCCCAAGCCCAGGCCGGGCACCGCGCCACTCCTGCTCAGCCCAGCCCCGTTGTGCCTGCCTTTCGGTAGCATTGCCGTAGAGGGAGGAGAGACTTGTGGAGGCAGGAGAGACTCGCACAACCACAGCTGCACTCGCCAGTCATGAGCCCTCACCAGCCATGAGCCCGGTGTCTGGCGCCCATCTGTCAGCTGAGCTGCACTTCCGCTGTGGAAGCGCTCTGACCACCAGGGGGCAGCTCCTGCATTGAGCGTCTACCCCCTGGTGGTCAGTGCATGTCATAGCTACCAGCTGGTCGGCTGGTTGTCCAGTTGCTTAGGCTTTTATATAGATAGATATGCATTACCCATGGACACAGATAGGATGGTGAAGGTCTGGGGTGGGGTGGGATTGGGCAGGGGAAAAGGGTGGAAGGGGACATCTGTAATACTCAACAATAAAAATATAATATCGAACATGGATTTTAATTTTATGGATATAATTTTTATTGTGGAATTTAGGATTTAACTGACATATATTCCATTACTTATCAATCCCCAAATACCTGAAGAGTACTTTTTTTTTTTAATCCTCACATGAGGGTATTTTTTTCCATTGCTTTTCAGAGAGTGGAAGGGAGGGGATAAGGAGAGAAAGAGAAATGCCAATGTGAGAGAGACACCTCAATTGGTTGCCTCCCACACGGGCTGCCGACCAGGACCAGGGAGCAAACCAGCAACTCAGGTACATGCCCTTGACTGGGAACCAAACCCACAACCCTTTTGTGGGCAGGCCAATGCTCTAACCACTTAGCAAATATGGCGAGGGCAAGAGTATACTTTTTAGATAACATTTTGATGGTTGCAAGATGGGAGAGGATTTGGAGGGTGAGAAAGGGGAGAGGATTTAAAATAAGCATACTAATGATTATAGGTTTTCCTTCTGGGGTGATAAAGTATTCTGGAATTAATGGTGATAGCTGCACAAATTTAAAAAAGATATATAGATGGGGAAATGTTAAAAGTAATACCCACAAGTATTTCCATTTGTGCCCTTTGAGATAAGTCAGATTTTTAAAACATCAACCAGAAAACTGCCCGAGTTGGTGTGGCTCAATTGGTTGAGCATCAACCCATGCACCAAAAGGTCACTGGTTTGATTCCCAGTCAGAGCATGTGCCAGGTAGCAGGTTGGTTGGGTGTAGGCGGGAAGCAACCAATCAGTATTTTTCTCTCACATCAGTGTTTCTCTCCCTCTCTTTCCCTCCTCCCTTCCTCTCTCTAAAATCAAAATGGGAACAAAAATATTTTCAAAAATATATACCAGAAAACCAAATAAAATAGCCTTCAAGACAAAATGAATTATCTCATGATAGTAAATGAACAGTGAAAAATGCAGATCAATATATTCCATACCAGAATGCTACAGTCACTTGCTAAGCTCTAGTACCTTTACCCGTGAAAAATGCAGATCAATATATTCCATACCAGAATGCTACAGTCACTTGCTAAGCTCTAGTACCTTTACCCCTCTTCCGCATGATATTCTTTCCCAAGAGGTCGCTTATATCTTAATGATACCTGTTCTACTGAAATTCATCCTAAGTGAAATAGAGCCATATTTGTTAACTAAGTTCTTTGTAGTAACAGCAGGATAAAGGGGTAGATCTTAGCAGTTCTACCATGTACAAACTATTGTTCACTATTTTTTTGCCCTAATAACCCAACATAACAATCCCTTATGGCCTTGTATGGCTAAACACAATAGAGCTAGTGTAAGATTAACTTAATCCACTTGGTAATCTCAGTCAAAGTTTAAAAACAGAGCAGCACACTCTTTCCCAGTGGTTCTCAACCTTCTTAATGCCGCGACCCTTTAATACAGTTCCTTATGTTGTGGTGACCCCCAATTTCATTGTTACAAATTGAACATAATTAAAGCATAGTGATTAATCACAAAAACAATATCCTATATAATAAAAGGCTAATAAGCAAATAGACTGAACGGGAGAACAAATGAACAACGGGTTGCTATGATGTGCACTGATCACCAGGGGGCAAGAGCAGGACATAGTGGGCGTCGTTTGTGGCCAGATGGTAAAGCAGGTGAGTGGGAGTGCCAGTCCAAGACGGGGTGCCAATCACTGTCATCAGGGCGAGCCTCTGGTGGTTACTAAAATTCTTTGCTCCTGTGCACAAGTCCTGTCCTGCACTTCATCCACTGCCGGCACTGGAGCCACCACTCGCACCCACTGCTGGCACCTGGTGCCAGCCCCAATTGTTCAGCACCGTCAGTGGGTGCAAAGGGCGGCGCCGGCCCGATCACCCCTCAGGGATTCTCAACCTCCCCCTGCTTCTGAGGGGCGATCAGAGCAGCAGTCACCGCTCACACCTGCTGACGGCGCCAGCCTCGCTTGCACCCACTGCTGATGCTGGCCCCAGTTGCTCTGCGCCATGAGTGGGTGCAGGCAGGGTCGGCGCCATCAGTGCATGGAATTGGCAGCAACGGGAGTGGGGCTGCCAGCAGAGAGAGGACCAGAGGCCACAGCAGGAGGGGCCAGCAGGGGCATGAAGGATGGGCCAAGAACCACCCCTGTGCCCATCGCAGCCTCACAGCTCACAGTTCCTTTCAAGGTGCACGAATTCGTGCACTGGGCCCATAGTGTAATTATATACGTGTTTTCTGATGGTCTTAGGCGACCCCTGTAAAAGGGTCGTTCGGCCCACAGGTTGAGAACCGCTGCTCTATCCCCTCTGGGAAGCCTTTCCTTTATACTCCCCCCAAGGAATTATTACTGTTCACCGTAATTACTCAAAAATTAAGATTGAGACCAACAATTTCTCTTAGTTTATGAAAGGTATTAAAGATAACTAAACATTTCCATATTCTCTAGAGATTCAACATGTAGCTGTGCAAGGAGTGAGTTTAGGCTATATTTAAGCAATTTGATAGGGATAAGTGGTTAATATTTCTAAGTAAAGGGTATCTACAACTGTCTTCATAGATGCCCCTTGTCTTGACTGAGGTGTGATACCCTGTCTTATCAGTTCAACAAGTTTTGGAGGTAAGCCTGCAATGTGTTTACCAATTATACAGTACTAGAGGCCCGGTGCACAAAAATTTGTGCACTGGGGGGCGGGGGGGGGAGAGGGGGTCCCTCAGCCCGTCCTGTGCCCTCTCGCAGTCTGGGACCCCTCAGGAGATAATCACCTGCTGGCTTAGGCCTGCTCCCGGGTGGCAGAGGGCAGGCCCCAATCCCTAGGTGCAGCCCCTGGTCGGGCTCAGAGCAGGGCCGATTGGGGAGTTGGGGCGCTGCCCCCGTCATGCACAGAGCAGGGCAGATCAGGTTGCGATGCCACCCCTAATCATGCTCAGGGTACAGCCGATTGGGGGGTTGGGGCACCGCCCCCTGTCACACTCAAGGCAGGGTCGATAGGGAAGTTGCGGCATCACCACGTCACGCACAGAGCAGGGCCCATCAGGGGGGTTGGGGCTCCGTACCCTGTCACACACAGAGCAGGGCCGATCAGGGGGTTGAGGAGCTCCCCACTGTCATGCACAGAGCAGAGCCGATCAGGGGGTTGAGGAGCTCCCCCCTGTCACTCACAGAGTAGGGCCGATAGGGGAGTTGGGGCACTGCCCCCTTGTCACACATAGAGCAGGGCCCGTGGGGGGGGGCGGGGGTTTGGGGCGCCCGCCCTCTATCACCCACAGAAGCAGGGCCGATCAGGGGGATGGGGCGCTGCACACTGTCACACACAGAAACGCAGGGCGATCAGGGGGGTTGGGGAGCTCCCCCCTATCAGGCACAGAGCAGGGCTGATCAGGGGGGTTGAGGCTCCTTCCCCTGTCATGAACAGAGCAGGGTGGATAGGGAGGTTGTGGCCCCGCTCTGTCACACACAGAGCTGCAGGGAGATCAGGGGGTTTGGGTGCTGCCCCCGTCACGCTGATCCCGGTGCCGGGAGGCCTCACGGCTCCGCTGATTCCGGTGCTGGGAGGCATATTACCCTTTTACTATATAGAATAGAGGCCTGGTGCACGGGTGGGGGCCGGCTGGTTTACCCTGAAGGGTGTCCTGGATCAGGGTGGGGGTCCCCACTGGGGTGCCTGGCCAGTCTGGCTGAGGGGCTGAGGGCCGTTTTCAGGCTGGCGGGTGACTGAAGCTCCCAACTGCTCATTTTTTTCTTTTTCTTTTTTATTCTGGGCCAGCTTTAGCTCTGAGGGCTGCTGAAAGCAGGTTTCTGGCCTTTGTTTACCTTCTGTATTTGATACAATGTTGTGGTCCGGCTGGCTGAAGCCTGGCTGACTAACGCAGGTTTCTGGGGTTTTGTTTAGCTTCTATATTTGCAACATAGTTGCTTAGAGTTGCAGCTGAGAGGACGGCAAGTCAGGCGGGAACATTGGAGTCCGCCGTCACTGGAGCAAAGCAAGCCTCCCTGTTCGCTTCAGTGCATGGCTGCCGGCCGCCATCTTGGCTGGCAGTTAAGTTGCATATCGCCCTGATTAGGCCAATGGGAAGGGTAGCGGATGTACGGCAAATTACCATGTTTCTCTTTTATTAGATAGGACTAGAGGCCCGTTGCAGAAAGATTCCTACAAGAATAGGGCTTCCTCGGGCCGATTGTGCCGCTCAGGGCCGCACATGGGGTCCTGGCTGGCTGCTCGTGCTGGCCCGCCCTGCCTGCAGTATGCAAATTAGCCGCCATCTCTGTTGGCGGTTAATTTGCATATCGCTCTGATTGGCTGATGGGAGTAGCGAAGGTATGGTCAATTAGCATCTTTGTCTTTTATTAGATAGGATATGATTTTAAATGTTTGAGTCCACATTCCTAATAACATATGAGCTGGAGTTTATACAATATCCTTTTGGTATCTCAAATTATCAGAAATGAGCATTCAGATTACTGCACTGAAGTGGGGGAAAAGCCACTTTGCACTAAACTTGCAGATTCAGTTAACGCAAACTTTTTTGCATACAAACTCAAAGCCAATTTTTAAATATCAAAGCAATATTCAGAAATTCCTTCACACAGATAGTTTTTTATCCTCCAACAGCACTTCTTTTGCTTCACTTTACTGCTACAGCCCAGCATAGGAAGTAGAAGTAATGCAGGCATTAGAAGCATAGGCTTCCATAGACTCCTTAAGAACCAGAAGTTAACAAACCAGCAATCTAAAAATGGTCTAAATATCCATCTGTACATTAGAATAATTTTGTAAATAGCAAATGAAAAAAATGATCAATTTTTAAATTTACCCATTAATTTTTAAATACTTTTTAAATACTGTGGTAAAATACAGAACATAAAATGTATCCCCTTGAACATTTTGTCAGTCCAATAGTATTAAGTACATACTGTATACAACCAATCTTGAGTTCTGAAAATTTTTCATCTTACAAAATTGAAACTACACCATTAAACAATTCCCCATTATTCCCTCCCCACAAGCCCTGGAAACCACCATCTACTTTGCTTCTAAGAAATCTGAGGACTACTCTAGGTACCTCATAGAACTGGAATCATTGTGACTGGTTTATTTCAGTTAGCATAACGTCCTCAAGGTTCATCCATATTGTATAGCATATGTCAGAATTTCCTTTTCTGTGGTTGAATAATAATCCACTTATACGTATGTACATTTTGATTATCTGTTAATCTGCCAGACACCTGGGTTGCTTCCACCTTTTGGCAACTGTGAGCAATGCTGTTATGAACATGGGTGTACAAATATCTCTTTGAGGCTCTGTTTTTAATTTGGGGGGGGGGGGGGGTTACATACCTAGAAGTGAAACTACTAGATTATATATATGGTTTTATTCTATTTTTAATTTTGGGGGGGAAACACCATTATGTTTCCCATGGCAGCTGAACAATTTTACATTCCCACCAACAGTCAACAAAGGTTCCAATTTTTCCATTGCCAACATTTGTTATTTTCTGGGTTTTAAAAAAAGGTTTTTTAAAATTCCCACCCAAGGATATGTTTTATTTTGAGAGAGAGGAAAGGAAAGGGACATCAGTTGCCTCCCATACCCACCCTGACCAGGGATTGAATCTACATCCTTTTGGTGTACAGGGTGACCCTCCATCCAACTGAGCTACCTGGCCACGGCTATTTTCTGGTTTGTTTTTTATAGTGGCCATACAGATGGGTGTGAAGTATTTTCTGATTGTGATTTTGATTTGCACTTACCTAATGATTAGTGATATTGATCATTTTTCATGTACTCATTGGCTATTTGTACATCTTTGGAGAAATGTAAATTAAGCTCTTTTGCTCGTGTTTTTAGTCAGGTGGCTTGTTTTTTGTGTTGCGTTGTAGGAGTTCTTTATATATTCTGCATATTAACCTCTTATCAGATTTAGGATATGCAATTATTTTCTCCCAATCCATAGGTTGCCTACCCATTAATTTTCAAATGTAAAGCAGTATGACATCTGTATCTTTTAAATATTTAACTCTGTTCCACAGAGATTGAGGACAAAAGTGAACTGAGTTTTCAAGGCTCACTTAACCAACTATAAGATATGCTACACCTTCCCAGTAAGTAATTAGTATAAAGTGACAGCTTACACAGAGAAAAACCACTCTGTCTATAACAGGGGTGGGGAACCTTTTTACTGCCAAATGCCATTTGAATATTTATAACATCATTTGCGGGCCATATAAAATTATCAACTTAAAAATTAGCCTGCTATATTTGGTCAAACATTTAATTAACTTTCCCCTAATGCCTTGGCAGGGCCAGACCAAAGCTTGCAGGCCAGACATTCCCCACCCCTGGTCTATAACTAGTATATTAAGGCCCTTGCCTATAGTGAATTGTACTTTTCTTTCTGTGGTGGTGAAATACTCACCACATAACATTTGTCTTTTTAAATCATTTTACACTGTACAATTCAGTGGCATGTAATACATTCACACAATGTCCTACAATCATAACCACTATCTAGTTCCAAAACTTTTCATCACTCCAAAAGGAAACACTGTACCCATTAAGCAGTCACTCCCCATTCTCCCTTCCCCAACCCCTGGCAAACACCAATCCCACTTCCATTTCCCATGATCAACTATATTTCTAATGACTATTCTACACAAATTCAAATCGACTATTATTTTCATTCACTAGTCACTGACTTCAAGTTGCAGAAAAAGTAGGCTTTAATGCAGAAACACTTTAGAATAAAAATACTATGGTGGAATACTCTAATCCCCAATCCCTAAGGCATCAAGAAACCCCAGAGTATAATTTGTAAGGTGTCAATTATACTTAAACACTACATTGACAACAGACATCTTTTCTAATTCACTGTGCCTGGAATTGAGCATGGTAAAAAAATTCTCATTTAAATCTAACAAAATCTCTGATGATTCAGATCTGTTTCCCTACATTAAACAACATTTTTGGAGTTTTAAGAGAAGCCCTCTCTGGAAAACAGGTAACTTTCTTAGTAACATATCATCTATAAATATCACTAAGTGAGCAGTCACAAATAACAGAAAGGAATAATTCATAGAAATATTGCATGTTTTAATAAAACCCTCTCGAATGATGAAGAAATCACAATAAGTAGGAAAGAGTCAAGACAACTACCTATATATATATAAAAGCCTAATATGCAAAGTGTCCCCTTGGGAATTCGATCGCTTGCTTGCTATGATGTACGCTGACCACCAGGGGGTGGTGCGGAACAAAGGAAGGCCCCAGATGGCAGCCGGCAGCTGCTAGGCACCCTACCCATGCACGAATTTCATGCACTGGGCCTCTAGTTTATGATAAAGACAAATGCTTTACTCTTAAAATTAGGAACAGAGCTTAAACATATTATGTTATAGTATCCAATGTAACCACATACAAAAAGAGAAAGAAAGCTAACTGTATTGTGATTAAACCTGAGTTTCCACCCTTGGCTCACTTACTAATCCAGTGTATTAACGGAAGCAGTCACTTAATCACTCCAGATCACTTCCATCTTGTAAAATAAAAGAGCTGAAGTTCTCTTGGTGCAGCTTTTAGCTCTACCACTGTGTTAACACTGGCCTCTCCCCATTTGTCAATGAATAACGCCACATATTTTTTTAAGTTTTATACCTGACATTAATAAATGTAATTCTGGATTTTAAAAGTTAAGTTTATTTTCATGGAAATCCCTAACCTTTTGAAAAGTCCTGGCTTCTTGCTAAAATTTTCAAGAGAAAAGCTAAATGGGAAAGGACATTATTAATTCTTACCTTGTTTGGCATCATCACAAGCTGCTGGCCTTTACTAATAGATCCTGATTCCAGCTTTCCCAGGACCACAGTGCCCATATCCTGTTGAAATTTAAAATTTAAAAAAAGTTTCAAATTTTTATTACCACTCTACAACAGTTCAGCAACCCCATGTGAAATCTTGCAGGGCTTACTCATAAAATAAAAATAAAAATCATTAGAACAAGTGGTATAATACTTAGAATTAATCTTAAATACAGGATAGAGAACAAATAATCTATAATACCTGCCTCATAAGCATGTGAACAACTATAGTACCAATAAATAAGTATGCCTAAGATTTAAAAAGAAAGCATGGTACAGGAGAGGGCACAGAATTTTGTTTGAAGATCTGAATTATTTGTTCAAATTCAGGTTCTTGCAATCTCTGAGCCTGTTTCTTTATCTATAAAATAAGAAAAGCAATACTTGTCCAAGAAATCTAGTATGGAGCCCTAGCCAAAGTAGCTCAGTGGGTTGGAGCATAGTCCTGTAAACAAAGGTCAAGAGCTCAATTCCTGGCCAGGGCACATACCCAGGTTTCAGGTTCGACCCCCCATCGGGGCACCTGCAGGAGGCAACTGATAAATATTTCACTCTCACAATGATATTTTTCTCTCTCTCTCTCTCTCTCTCTCTCTCCCCCCCTCCCTCCCTCCCTCCCTCCCCCTCCATCCTTCCCCTTCCCTTTTCCTCTCTCTAAAATCAATAAAAGCAAGTCCTCAGGTGAGGATTTAAGAATAAAGTATTTGAGGAGGGGCAAAACATTACACTGATATTGCAGTAAAAATAATGATGCTTTTTTTTTTAAAAGTAGAACATCCAGTTAAACTAGCACTCATATACTGCTGCTGGCAATATAAATTAGCACAGTATTCTGAAAGGTTATTTGCCAATATGCATAAACTTTAATGTGCAAATCCTTTTGAGTCTAGCAATTTCACTTGTATGAGTTTCTCTCTAAAAGATTATTGGCTCATTGGGAAACAGATGAAATAATTTAAGTTGGTTGAATAAATCATGGTCTATACCACAAAATAATATGCAGCCATTAAAAGAGACATCTATGTTGTTATTAAAGTTTTTTCATAATTTAAAACAAAACACAAAACAACTATTTCACCTCCCATAAAACCCAATTTCTTGAACATTTTGGGTACCTTGTATTTATCCACAATTGGCAGCCTGATTGGTCCATCAACTGATCTATTGAAGTTTGGCAAATTATCCAGATATGGAATAAATGGTAATCCACTGAGAACATAACAATATCCATTAAAGAGAGTCAACATAAATATCAAAATATTAAGTTACATGACTGTATCTTTATACAAAAAAATGGTTATAATCATGTTTTCATTCTACCCATGTACTCGTCTCATTAATCCTATTATTTAATTCATTTCATTTATTCCTCAGAAAATTAAAAATAAAATAGCTGAATGTAATATGAAAATAGCTGAATATAATATGAAAAACCTCCCCATTAACACTTGAGATTTAGAAAATATTTTATAGCAAATAGCCCACATGTTGTAAATAATGACTGCACTCTTTTACTTAATTTTTATGGACTTTTCCAGCTCTGAAATGAAGATTCTATAAAATAATTTCCCCTTTAAAGCTACACTTTATAGGACACATAAAATACTGTCAAGACGGCAATGCTCTCCAAACTGATCTACAGATTCAATTCAATCCTGTTAAATCCCAGCTGCCTTTTTTGCAGAAACTGTCAAGCTGATCCCAATGTTTATATGGAAATTCAAGGAACCCAGATAACCAAACAATCTTGGGGAAATAACAAAATTCAAAGACTCACCCTTCCCAATTTGAAAACTTACAAAGCTATATAATAATCAAGAGTTCACCTTATAAAAAAAAGTAGCCTAAAGTGAAATGCACACCTAAATGTCAATAATAGGGTTCTAACTCTTCCTAACTGGATTAGGCAGTTTTCCTATGTATGACACCAAATGTACAATTGGCAAAAGAAAAAATAACCTAGTTTAATCAAAATTAAAACCTGTTATGCTTCAAAGGACGCCATCAAGAAGGTGAAAAGATCTCCCACAGAATGGGAGAAAACATTTGCACATCATGTATTTGATAAGGGACTTGGGGTACCCAATGCACAAAGAAGTCTTACAACTCAATCACAAAAAGACAACCCAGTTAAAAATGGGCAAAGTTCCTGGTATTTTTAAAGCCAAAGTTACATTCACTATTTTCTTAAATTACTTATTAAGACATAAACTCTTTTAAAGGAAAAAAAGAATTACTTACATGTACCAAGGACAGAAATCTGATTGCTCTTTAAGATTTGCTCCAGTCAGTCCTGAGCAGGGCATAAAGTGAATATCCTTTTTGGGATTGAAGCCAACTTTTTTCAAAAATGGCACTAGTTTCTCTTTACATTCTTCGTATCTATAATATTTATAAGTAATCCAATTATAATATAAAGCAATTGAACTCTAGTTTCATTTTTAAAAATGAAGTTTAGAAAAACCACAGGGAAAAACATAATAACAAAAGCATCCTTTATTTTACTAACATGTCTATAAGATATGTAAGCTTACCTCTCATTGCTCCAATTCACTGTGGGATCATCCATCTTATTAATGAGCACAATTAAGTGTTTTACACCTGCTGTCTTTGCCAACATTGCATGTTCTCTTGTCTGTCCTCCTTTTTCAAATCCAGTTTCAAACTCTCCTTTCCTGGCAGAGATTACCTATTCCAAGAAATCAAATAGTTTATTCTTACACATTCAGGTATACCCTTCTAGCAATAAAATGTCTTTCCTTTCGGTTTTATCAGAAGCTTTCTGCAAAAATATAGAAGAAAATTAGTCATAATATACATGCTTTCAAATATCACAATGTCTAAGTGATTTTAAGATTTAAGTATGTTTCTTTCGATCCTCAATTTTCCAAATTCTAGTATGCCTCTATGTATGTTACAAATTAAACATGTATATGATTTAGTGCTGGAACAGTGATTTAAAAAAATTGCAAAATGATGGAAGGCCTCAAAAAAATAGATCATTTCATATTCATACTCACTGCCTAATTTGTAGGCTTGGCATTTAGTGGACACTAAGTTCTGACACATAATAGATAATAGCAATGGCAGAGAAAAGTTGAAATATATTTTCATAAGTAAACTAAATTATAAAGACTTCTTGCACAGATCAGTAAGACAAAAGTGAAAATTGTGACCGTGTATATTGTAGTTCACCACAACCTAAATTCCAGCTTTTACAGATAAACTCAAATATTTAAAAATTTAAGTGGGGCCCGACTGGTGTGGTTCAGTGGATAGAGCGTCGGCCTGCGGACTGAAGGGTCCAAGGTTCGATTCCCAGTCAGGGCACATGCCTGGGTTGTGGGCTTGATCCCCAGTGTGGAGCGAGCAAGAGGCAGTCAATCAATGATTCTCTCTCATCATTGATGTTTCTCTCTCTCTTCCCCTCTGAAATCAATAAAAATCTATTTTTTAAAAAGTTTAAGTGGGGTTGCTAACAAATATTAAGGTGAATTAGAAATGTCTTTCTTACCAGTACAGCCAAATCAGCTTGAGAAGCACCACCAATCATATTTGGGACAAAACTCTTGTGGCCAGGGGCATCTAGAATTGTGAAATGCTTCTTTTCTGTTTCAAAATAGGCACGACCAACTTCTACTGTTTTACCCTTGTCTCGTTCTTCCTGATTTGTGTCTAAGGCCCAAGACAAGTACCTGAAATAATTTTAAAATAAGAATAATACTGATAAGAACATGAAAATTTCTAAGATATTCTTCTACCATTAAAGGTGTAATTGATGACATCTAGCTTTATGTCCATCATACATTTAAACCAGTAATAGAACTAGACAGAAATGAAAATTAAGAGAGTAAAACTTATGTTAATGTGGTTCCAACACTTGGAAATTTTACATATATCCAGTCAACCATTCTAGAAGCAAACATTATTTATGAAACAGCTGAAACATACACAGAAAGACTACTTTAAGTACCAATGCTAATATCACCATGAGTTAATAAGTTCCTCTATATTTCATTTTTATAATCATCTGTCACAAAATATAATATGAATAATGGCTGTCTAAGGATGTCTTTTTAACATGAAGGCCATTAACCTGCCACTTGGGAGCAATAGTTACTTGCTAAAATTATTTCAATATTATTTGCCATGTAAAAATTACTTATTTAAGTTCAAATCATCCATAATAGAAGGCATTAATTTAGATTACCTAATCATCTGTATTTCATAGTATATACTCATTAAGATTTTCCCTTTACAGAGCAATATAACAACAAAAAACACACCAATGCCCCATTCAGATAAGCTTGTTAACTTTTAAAAAATAAGATAAGGTTAGAAAACTGAAAAAGTTGACCTTTTCTCTCACCACTCAATGGAATCATTGTCAATAATTCCTTCAATTATTTTTCTTTCCATTGTTTATTTACATAGTTAATGATCGTGTCCTAAGTACTATGATGTTTCCTGTTTTCTTCCCAAATTCCACTGTAACATATTCTATTCCTGGTTACTATAAATTCTTTAAATGCAATTTTATAGTGGTTAGATAATGGCCCAATTAAATGGCCCAATTAGAATATATTCAATAAGCCTTTTATTATTGGATGTTTGGATGTTTCCAAACTTTCTCTGTGCAAGTTTTGAAGTGATCGGGAAATGATCTAGACTACGTAGTATGAGGGGAAAGAAACTTCCTTTGTTATGACACCATTTCAGTAGACTTCAAAAGCATTAAGTGGGCAGCATTTCCTTAAAAGTAATTTATAGTATCATAAAAGTTTAGTATACCAAGTTTCTCTGTTTTTCTCTTTAGCTTCTCTTTCATATTTCTCAAGTGTCCTTTTGTCAACCATTCCAGTCAAATACCTGAAAACATTTAAAGAAACACAAATTACTCAATGAAATTAGGAAAACTTTAAATCACTTCAAAAGGAATTTCAATTCTAAATATAATGAAGTAAAGGTACCTCTGGTGGATGCTTGAATCAGGAAACTTTCAGTAGAAAAGTTATTTGCATAGTCTCAAATTATCTCCCACAAAATAAAGGGGAAAAACCATAACTTTATGGTGGAGAATCCTGGTAACACCTTAACCAAGTAATTTTTAGCAAATATCACCAGTAATAAAAAAAACATACTGAATATTGATATCTTTTACCCCAACTGGATGCCCTAAGAGTACAGCATGTCTTTGATGATATTCTTGCCCAAAATGCCTAACCTCAGTGTGATTGTAAAAAACATCAGTTACCCCAATTGAAGAATCTATTATAGTAAAAGAATAATATGCTAATTAGACCTGACAAAGCCATGGCTGCAAGGGAAGCTTGGGTCCCAGGTGCTGGAGGGAAGCCGGTGCCAGCAGCCAGAGGAAGGAAGGCCTACTCTTGCAAGAATTTCAAGCACCAGGCCCCTAGTCCTATATAATAAATGGCTAACATGCAAATCGACTGAACGGCGGAACAATCGGTCGCTATGGCATGCACTGACCACCAGGGGGCAGATGCTCAATGCAGGAGCTGCCTCCTGGTAGTCAGTGCGCTCCCACAGGGGGAGCGCTGCTCAGCCAGAAGCCCTGAGCCAGGCCCACAGTTGGCGAGCACAGTGGCTGTGGCAGGAGCCTCTCCAGCCTCCGCGGCAGCACTAAGGATGTCCGACTGATGGCTTAGGTCCTTGTTAGACATCCCCCCAGGGCTCCCAGACTGCGAGAGGGCGCAGGCCAGGCTGAGGGACGCCCCCTCCCGCGAGTGCATGAATTTCCTGCACCGGGCCTCTAGTATCCTATAAAATAACTGAATAGCAATCTTCAAATGATGAAGGTGGTGAAAGACAAGACTGAGGAAATGTTGCAAGTTAAAGGAGACAAAACAAACACAAAATGGAATTCAGGAACAGAAAAACATTAGTGCAAAAACTGGTGAAATTCAAATAGATCTATAGTCTAATTAGTAGTATTATAGCAATGTTAGCTTTTTAGTTTTAATGATTATACTACAGTTATGTAAGATGTTTCCATTAGGGTAGGCTAAGTGAAAAGTATATGGGAAGTATGTACTTGTTTTACAACCTTTCTGTAAAGTCTAAAATTAATTTATAATAAAAGTTTATTATATTTATTTATTATTTATTTAGAATAGTTTGATTTTGAGAGAGAGAGGAAGGGAGAAGAGAAAGAAACATCTAGGTGAGAGCTCAACATCGGTTGCCTCTTGCATGCACACTACCAGGAATCCAGCCCACAACCCAGGCATGTGACCTGACCAGAAATCAAACCAGCAATCTCTTTTGCTGCATGGGATGACACCCAACCAAGCCACACTGGCCAAAGCAATAAAAGTTTCTTTTAAAAAGCAAATGTAGCCCTGACCGGTTTGGCTCAGTGGATAGAGCATCGGCCTGCCAACTGAAAGGTCCCAGGTTCGATTCCAGCCAAGGGCATGTACCTTGCTTGCAGGCACATCCCCAGTAGGAGGTGTGCAAGAAGCAGCTGATCGATGTTTCTCTCTCATCTATGTTTCTAACTCTCTATCCCTCTCTCTTCCTCTCTGTAAAAAATCAATAAAATATATATATTAAAAAATAATAATAATAAAATAAAAAATAAAAAGCAAATGTAAATGCTATATAAAATGATTCCAACAGTGTTGTCCAGGCAATTAAGTCTTACTAATACACTTTAATACTTTAAAGATATTATTTCTCAAAGTGAGATTATCTATGTATATAAAAGACTAAGCCACCATTAAAACCGGATGACCAGAACAACTGGTTGATCAGTCACTATGATGTGCACTGACCACCAGGGGGCAGGCGCTCAATGCAGGAGCTGCCCCTTGGTGGTCAGTGCTCTCCCACAGCCAACCTCCCACGGCCAGCCAATCTCCCGCGGTCCCTCCCCCTGTCCCCTTTCCCAGCCAACAGGCCCCAGCCAACCCAGCCCCAATTGGGACTGGGCGAGACAGCCCCAATAGGCCCTGATCACCGGTCAGACCTAGGGCCCACCACCTGTGCATGAATTTTGTGCACCGGGCCTCTAGTTTTAAAATACTTCCTTAGGAATTCCAGTTCTAGCTTTCATCTCTATGGGGTTCTCTGTGCAGTCATCTGTAGTGCAAGTTTCTAACCATTTAAGTATAGAATCCCAGTGAAATACCAATGAAAATTACAGCCCATAACCAAAAAATATACATTCTTCTAAAACATCATCAAATGGGCCCAACACTATTATCCGTAGAGCCTTAGAAGAGGATCCTTGTTTTAGAGTCTTTGGGGAATCTTCAAAAGTGAGAATTGGAAAGATTATCAATTAAGATTACTAAACAAGACAAGATGATGATATCTAGATCCTCTAATGACAGCTTTAAAAAATGGGTCTAATCTAAGAGGGATTAAATATTTAGGACCTGTGAATTTAAAAGATTTTTCAATACTAGAATATGTTCCTGAAGGCCAACCATGGTGTCTTCATACCTTAATAACTTACATAATATAATAAAAAATTATCTTAGCATGTTAGCCAGACTACCTTATATTTGATTAAATCCACATAAATTTAAGGAGTTGATGATGAGAAAACGCCAGTTCTCTTTATGCACCAGGTTCAAGAGCTGGTTTTTATTATTTCCAAGAAAATTATATTCAAAGAGTAAAATTTCCTATAAGTGAGGGTTGGTTCTTTATTAGTTTTTATAAAAAATGTAAAAGGTAATTTTCAGAAGTATATTTAATTCATGTTACATCAGAGTCTGACAGTGATCACGAAAGAATTTTAGTGATGGCCTATAATCCATCAGAAAATACTAATGATCACATTGCAAAAATTACTCCTTAATATCAGTCTTCTCTACAGGTAATGCCATTTTATTATTAACTAGAGGCCCAGTGCACAAAATTTGTGTGTGGGGGGGGGTCCCCCCCTCAGGCCAGCCTGCACCCTCTCCAATCTGGGACCCCTCGGGGCATGTCTGACTGCCAGTTTAGGCCCGATCCTGGCGATCGGGCCTAAACCGGCAGTTGGATATCCCTTTCATAATCCAGAACCTCTGGCTCCTAACTGCTCATCTGCCTGACTGCCTGATCGCCCCCAACTGCCCCCCTGACATCCTGGTTGCCCCCAACTGCTCCCCTGCCAGCCTGGTCACCCACAACTGACCCCCCACTGGCCTGGTCGCCCCCAAATGCCCCCTCTTCCAGCTTGGTCTCCCCTCACTGCCCACATATGCCAGGCTGGTCGCCCCCAACTGCCCCCCTCTGCTGGCATGGTTGCCCCTAACTGCCCCCCCACCCCGCCAGCCTGGTCACCCAACTTTCCCCCAGCCGGCTTGGTCGCCCTTCACGGCACCCCCCTGCCAGCCTGGTTGCCACCAACTGTGACCCCTGCCAGCCTGGTCACCCCTCATTGCCCCCCTCTGCCGGGCTGGTTGCCCCACACAGCCTGCTGTTCAGTCGTTTGGTCGTCCCTCACTAACCCCCCTGCCGGACTGGTCACCCCACACAGCCTGCTGCTCAGTCGTTTGGTCGTCCATTCGGTTATTTCAGATGTGACAGCCCGTGGCTCTTTATATATAGATTTTCTTAACTTGGGGTAATCTCCTTCGTATGATTTTATGAAAGTTGACAATTCCCAAAATTCATTCAATTGAGTTAATTCTATTATATAAGAAAAAATATACTTACATTATTTGTCCTCCAATGGTTGACTTGCCAGCATCTAAAAGTAATAACATCAACAATATGTATGCAAAGCATAGGTATAAAAAAATTTTTAAAAAGTCAACCAGTATATACATATAACAGAACTATGAAGATACAGTTTAGCATATACTTTATAATTAAATCGTGCAAAAGCAACAGAAACTGTAGGAATCTATTGGTTAGTTACCTTCTCCATTGGAAAAAGGAGCTACTAAGTCCCCCTAACAGCTTGATAATGATTTAGAACTACTTTACTGATAAAGAACAAAAGAAAGAATTTTTAAACAGAGTATTCCCTGACCTCCAGCTAAGAGCCAGGCAGCAATTGAATATAAATTACCTAAGGGTAGCCCTGCCAGCATGGCTTAGTGGTTGAGCATCTACTGGTACCTATGAACCAGGAGGTCACAGTTTGATTCCTCGTCAGAACATATGCCCAGGTTGTGGGCTCAATCCCCAGTAGGGGGTGTACAGGAGGCTGCCGATCAATGATTCTCATCATTGATGTTTCTATCTCTCTTTCTCCCTTCACCTCTGAAATCAATAAAAATATGGTGTTTTTTTTTTAAAAAACAACAACAACCTACTTTAGGGAAAAACAAAAAACCCTAAGGGAGCCTTAGAGAACAGCAAAAATAGCCAAGAGCTGAGACTACATTTAAGTAGTCTGCCTTTCACTTTTAGTAGAGATTAGTGTTCCTATACAAATTTCAAAGGAGTTCTTGCTACTAAAAAAGTAGAAGGGTGTATCATCATATTCAGGGGAAAGCAGAGATAAAGGGGGGGGGGGAGGGAAGGACACATAATTGTATTATTTTTCTCCTCAGAATTTGGGGGATAGGTTAGATGATTAAATATCTAAGTAAATCAAATGGGTGGGGGCTAGGGGGTAGCTAAATCAGCAACCTATTACTAATTCTCATATCCCACAACATTCAACTACACAGTAAAGTTAATACAATAAAATTAATAAATTAAGTTCACACGTAAAAAAGGCAAATTCCCTAGGATATTAAGATATCATAATATGCTCAGCTATCATCAAAGGCTAATTTACACATTATATAAAAATATACTAAAGCTTTTCTCCCAGCTTCCATGCCATTACAGAATTGTTCATCTGCCACCCTTTGAGAACGAAGTATTTGTTGACAACTTTCTGCCAGCTAAATAATCTAGCAAATCACAGTTCAGTTTCATGAAACATCTCCAACTTATTAAAAAGATGTTCTGTTTTATGTACCCAATCATAGCTATGAGTAACTTACCTACATGCCCAATGAATACTACATTTACATGTTCTTTTTTAGGAGCACCTGGTGGTGCAACCACAGATTTAGGTTTTGGTATTTCCTCTTCTTCCTCCATCATTTCTTGGGCATTTTCTTCTGGGGGTTTTCCATCTCCTAAAGAACCACCCCCTGGCTCTGCTTCACTTATTTCTTCTTTGTGCTCCCATGATTCTTCTGGGGACATTTCTGTCTCTCCATTTTCTACTGAAAGAAGGCATTTTAATTTAGTATTCTAAAAAAGATTTGTAACATATACAGGTACTTTAAAACATAGGTGCTTTCAATAAATGGAACTTGGCATATTTAGCTCCATTTCCTAATGTCTAGTGATATATAAGCAAGAAAATCTTTCACAACAGAAATGGATAATAGCTTTCAAGCTGGCCACACTGCTGACATCACAGCTTGACTCATATACTATGAGAGTTGCTATTTTACCAAAGCTTCATTTTCATTAGGACAAACAACATGTAAGCAGGAGATCTTAACATTCTTAACAGCCCTGTTATTCCAGTGTTAAGATGTCCTGACAGTAGAAAAAGATAAATTTTTAAATCAGAACATAGGAAAAGTGTGAAAGAATTTAGAAGATCTTTTCTTTTTCCTCTGCAAGTAATAACTTTGGCTTCAAGTTTATTGATCACCTTGGGAATATGAAACCCTTAAGAGTAATAAGTTACAAAAGGGAAGAAAAATTTTCACCAACTAAATGGAACAGATACAACTATTTAAACTGACTTTAACATTCCTCCATTCAATTCTTTTGTATTTGCAACACTAAATTTATCACAGCAGTATTAATGTCTAATTAGTTCT